CAACGCCTGATCATGGGACGATATCGAATCGATGGAATTTGCAGAACTACATTAGTGCATTTTCTGCATATTCATACTCATACCTACCTTGGCTCGGACGCATTTTAGCCAACATTGTGGCGGAGTGTTGAAAGAGCGTGGCTGGAGGCATCTGCAGTTGCAATCTCATAAATCAATTAGCAAAGAGCGGCGCGGGAAGAGTATCTCGCGGATACGGAGCCACATCCGAATCTGAATCCGAATCGAAACTCGTTTGGCTGAATTCGCTCTCAAAAAACGCCAACAAACTTGGGGCAGAACGGCAAACAACAAATACTCGGACCAGAGAACCAGAGAAAATGCATATGCAAAGAAACCGGCAAATATTTATTTATGATTTGCTCTCTCGTCGCCTGTTCCACTCTCTGCATCTGGCAGATACCCTGCTCTTCTTCGTCGTAGGACCCGTGCGACCCCCGCATCGATCAGCTTTTACTCAGCATGTTTTATTTTTAACGATTCCACATCCACCGCAACCATCGGTGGCAATTGCAAACATTTATACAAATTGACGTTTAGCTGTCGCAGTTGTCACCTCGAAAGCCGCACCAAAGATACACGACACACCGACGACATCGGGGAATGCTGCCAAGTGCTCGGCGCAGAATTCTTCGGATGACCCGGCGAGGTAATGGTAATCCAAGTTGCCAACCGCAGTCTCCCCCCTTGTCCACATCCCCACTCGCATTGCCCGTTCCCGCTTGCGACTCGTGTTCGTGTTTTATAATTGTTATGGCCATTCTACAAGTTGTTGTACATTGTTAGCGGCCTGGAAGGAGGGCTTTTGGCTGATATCTGGCTCGGCTTGCGGTGGGGGTAGATGGGTACACCGGGGAAAACTAGATTGATGGCAAATCAAAATGCGAGAATATAAAAATCTCTGTATAAACCGAAATTCAAATCCAAAAGTTAATGCGCCACTTTGAACAAATTCTTTCTAAAGTCGGAACACATTTTATTTTCATACTACATACTAAGCTGCTCAATAAATTTGTATCATCGCTTCCACGTACTAATTTTAATTATCCCTGTGTAATTTTTTGGATTTATCTTTTACCTATCCTGCATTACATGTTCCACAAATATTTTTTTCTGTATAACTGGGTAGCCTTTCGAGTTACTTATGCATGCGAATCGCACACATGTCTGGCGCCCACATCGCAAATGTATATCAACCACTGTCAGTTTGCATTTCCTCTGAAAGCCTAGTTCGGAACGGATCGAGCGCATATCTACACGAAGTCAAAACTACTTCCGTGAAATTGTTGGTAATGAAGATGATGGAAAAAATTTTGGAGTACGTTTAAACAATTTTGATAACATCTTGAATTAAAAGACATTCTACTAAATAACTGGAGCGTTAAATTCTACAGAAATAAAGGCAAATTAATTCCTTAAAAGCATTTGATCTGCTATTTTATATTTTGATTATTAAGGTTTATGGTTTTTAAAATACTAATTTAAATAATATATAGAAATGGCAAACCATTTTATAAATTATTTAGTTTTATACTTGTCAATTTGAGCATATAAAATTAATTTTCACATCTGAAAATGTATTTTCAAATTACAATTCTATTTTTCCAATAACTCATTTAATTTCACTGGTTTTACAGTGGGATATCCTTTGAGGAATTAGGTATGGGCTTAAAATTAATAATTTAAACCATTATTATTTTAATAAAAAGCATAAAAATGTGTTGTATAATATTTTCAATATGCACACCTTAATCTCTATGTTGAGTTTACCTTTTTTGGACAGGCGTCCAGACATCCTCGAGAACCACGTCGCTTGCTTTTTGATCTTCCTTCTTCTGGCTCTTAACCTTGTTAATTTTCGGCTCCCCCTCTCGTCCAGTCGATGGGAAATTTGAGATGTTTTTGAAGCCGAACAAATTGGTAGCTTAATGACAAATGGGGTGCCAAAAAACGTGTTTTATGTTCATAACCAAGATACGCAGAGTTATTTAAAGCAGCCAGGCGCAAGATTCCGCAAGGCAAAAGCAACGACGAGGCGGCAGAATGGAGCAGTTCTCGAAAGCGAAGGCAATCTGCATATAGAACGTAACCAAAGGACAAACCTTTTAACCGACCAGCGGGAGGAATCCGTGTGGGGAATGGGACCTGAACCGCTCTTCAAGGAAGGGGTAAGGGTAAGAGGTCTCGAACAGAGAGTAATTTACGCTTGCATGCAAATTGAAAAACAGTCGAGAGCAGGCACTGGACATATGGGATTGGGATTGGGATTGGGGATTCTGGAGTGGGATGAGGATGAGTTCCGGGCTGATTGAGCGCCGGGGTGATGCATTTTAAAACAAATTGGCACAGTTTGTGAGAGGTGGCCGGTTGGTCTGGTCTGGTCTGCTGTGTTGCGTTGTTCGTGGCGTGTTTGTCACTCAATTAGATGCAACTCATTTAGCAGCTCTCGCATTTGGCCGCCATTTGTGTGCACAAAATGTTAATCAAAGCCTGATGGGATTTTTTAGGCCAACTAATGATGCCATGCTGTGATGAGGATATAGTTGGGGGTATGGGCGATTGGGAGATTGGGCGACTGGGAGATTGGGGGGTTCCAGGGTTGGCACAGACATATTGATGACAGTCGCTCAATTAATGTGCAAAATTTATGCATGGGAAAGTTCAAAACAAACAAACAAACGCACCAACAACATAGAGCTAAAAAAGTAGGAGAAGCGAGTAAAAAGAAAAAAGACAAAAGGGAGATCGCATGTCCGATAAAAAATCAATACAAATTAACCGACTCATTTTGTTGTTTTTGCCCATCGAATTGAGTTGTTGTTACTGGTGCGTACAGGGCCCATAATCCCATGTAATGCCTTCAAAGGAAGCTTAAACTGCTATCGTGCGTGTCATCTATGACACCTATTAAATGGGGTATCAGGTGTTTTTTTTTCTTCTCAGTAATATGCTGATTTCGATTACATTTAATTTTCCCCGTAACATTTTTATTTTCAAGGGTATACTTAGTTTAATTGCAAATGCACATGCATCTGCCACATAGTGTAAGCATTAAAATTATTAAGCAATTAAGGGGAAGTATGCAAGGTGGAACACACCATTATTATTAAAGATTGGTTATTTATTACATACAATTAAATACATGAGATGAGTGAGTGTCCCCTAATCCGATGTAAAACATTAAAAGGGAGCTTAAGCTGTCATTAACTGGACTATCCGGTGTTTCTTACCTCAATTTAAATTGCATCGCCTTTTGCTAGTAAAACTATATTCTAAAGGGTATATTTAAATTAATTAAAATATTTACATTTACTGCAACATAGTGTAAGCATTAAAACTATTAATCAATTGGGAGGAAGCATGCAACGTGTAACACGCCATTATCATTTCGGTTATGTTGTTTATCATAATAAATTAAATAAATGAGATCGTGACGGAAGTTATTATCTCCGAATATTGTATTTTCTTTTGAGTTTATTATTACAGCAAATACAAGTGTAACATTGAAGAGTGCTTTTTTAGAGGGTCTGTGCTTTAAGATACCCACAACACTTACTTCCCCGCTTTAAAATAGGTTCTAAAATCCCAAAAAGGGTTCTGGGGCTTTATACATTTTTTTGCTTAATATATTAAACTTCCATGACCTTCAAGAAATCAATACAAAATGTTGTGGATCCAACAAAGCTTTTTTAGAGGGCTTTAAGATACTTCCCCTTTTTAAAATAGGGGCAAACATCCAAAAAAGGGTTTGGGGATCCATCGATCTTTTTGCTTAATATATTAAACTTCTATGACCTTCAAGAAACCAATAAAAACAGTTGTGGATCCAGCAAACCTGAAGCCAAAACAATTAATTCCTTAGTTTTTCACAAGGACATTTCCACGATTTGACTAAAAACTTTATTTAAAAGCGTTTGGCCCATTCCCCCTGCTTTCTTGCTGACATCGCAGCAGATGTGTTGCACATTGCAATTAAATCAGTGGCCAGCCCGCTCTGACCTGTCCTGAAGGGTTGGTGCTGCATTTGATGACTGCCTGATGGAAAAGTTGTAGCGACAAAATAATTTCGCAGCGGACAAGGCCAGGTCTAAACTTGTGGTGTGGGTGTGGGGGTGAGTTTAAGCGTGATATGTGGGAAAAGGGGCGAAATGCCAGCCCAGAAGTTCGCAGCTCCGAGGTGATGATGATATGGATGATGATGACGACCTGCGCAACAATAGTTTGCATCTCGGAGATACCCAAAATGAAGTTGTTCTCCTTGGTCGTCGAGTTTTCCTGTTATTGTAGCTGGCTTGCCGCAATCAACCGCACTGCATGTTGCGGTTCCTCGAACAAGTCGCCTTTTCCAGCGTGCTGGTGCTTGTGTATCTAATCACATTAGCACGTGCGCATATCCTTTTGGCCTTTGGTGGTGTTGTGTCGGTGGGGGGCCAAAGTCCTTGCTCCCCAGGCTGCCATTCGGAGCCAGGACTGTGCAAACTAAAAACATTTTGGCCGCTTTGTTTTTGGCTCATTTCGTTTGTCGATTTTGATTATTTGTCTGTGGCTGCCCGCACAGACTTTTGTTTTTGCCAGCTTGCCCAAACTATTTGTATCTCAAAGTTGGGCCACACACGTATGCCACTTGCATACGCCAGCTAGTTTCTTTGAGCACTTCAAACTTTTCCACAAAGGCTAAATAGTTTCGCATCTTTCTAGTTTGGCATTAAATTTGAATAGAAAATATTGGAGAATTTCGACGTCAGCATGCCATTTTAACCAATGTTGAACAGGAAGCCTTGTGCAGTAGTTTGAATTTGAATTTATCGTTAAATAAAGTTGCCACTCTGTTGGAGCTGGTGCTGCCAGATATCAAGAGCTGCCGGACAATATTAAAACTATTGTTGCCAGACTTTGACATGAAGAACACTATTTGAATTCAAATAAAATGTTTAGCCGATTTTATACCCCCCTTTTAGCCCCCTTTAATTAAAAAAATGTTCTTTTAAATGCAAGCAAATATTGTATTTATTTTTTATCGATCGCTTGAACAAGCAGGGAACCTAGTAAAGTTCTCAACAAATAAGTTTTGAATTTTGTTTGGCGGCTTTAAATCTCAAGGGTTTAGCAAAGCAAGCTACTTTTTGAATACATTGTCTGTATATTTTATGCAATATTTTATATGTTGCTGTTTTGTTGCAGGTGCAACCATTTTACTCCGCCTTCACTGGCACATAAGTCAGGATAATGCTGGAGTGCGGGGCCACCTTGAGGTCCTTGAGATTCACTCGTCCTGCGTGGGCGACCTTATTGGCATTTTCGACGTTGTCGTTGTACTTCTCGCTGAAATAGGAAACTGTCATCTTGTCGGGCAGATCATCGGGGATGGTAAAGTTGCTCGCCTGAGGCAACTCGGTGGGATTGAAGATGACAAAGTAGCCGGGGTTTCCAGACTTGATCCTGCGAGGAAATGTAAAAAAAATGCGGTTAAAACGTATATACAAAAAGCTGGTAAAGCATTGCTATAATTTATAATAACTTTTTGGAAATCAAATATATGTAATTAATGCAATCTCAAAAAAACCTGACCAAAAAATCAAGTTTAAATAAATACATTTTAACTCAAAAAAATTAATTCATTAAAGATTTTAAAAAGAACAGAAATAAGAGCCAAGATACTATTATTTGTGTTAATCTGTTTACCTCTGCCTTCCAGTGGCAAGCAAGAAGAATTGGACAAGAGTTAGCAACAATTACTATACAATTAGTGAGACAAAGGCTTCAATTACCTGGAGAAGGCCACCAGCGGATCGGCCTGGAACAAAGGAGAGCTCTCCGTGCATGTAGGATGCACTCTTGCGCAGCGAGGTGATCTGCCTGTAAGTCTCCTCGGTGACATTCTGGTAAGCCACGGCATCCACAGGCACCACGGGCACACCGGGCAGCAGGGATAGGAACATGGCCAGAGCGGAAGGATCCTGCGGGGTGTCCAGGTAGACGTCCGCGAAGTTCCATTGCAGCCAACTGTTTTTGCCCGATAGGTCTAGAGTGTTCTTAAGATCACCCTGCAGCGATTTCTTCGGCTTCGACTGGCTGAGCACCTTCACAAAGTCTCCGTACATGGGTATGTCGATGCCGTAGGCATCAGCAACACCGCTCAACTGGTAGGCCTGCGGCTGGATGACATCCTCGGCAACCGACAGGAAAGCCTCTTCGGAGGCATTCTTTACGATGCTCAGGTAATCGTAGAGGACATCGCCCAGGCCGGATTGGAAGGTGGTCTGCTTGTGGTCGTAGAAGCCGTAGTCACCTGCTCCCAAACTGAAGTCCTTTGGCACCGCTGAGTTCACCTCATCCTCCAGGCCGTCGGACAGCACAAAGAACTTGGTGTTCCTCAGCCGGAAGCCCTGAACGCCCAGTCCCACCAGATGCTTCAAGACACCGCCGAATTCGTTCCTAACAATCGTACTGTTCATCTTGAGGTCGAAGTAGCCCTCCTGGAACTGGGAGAGCACATAGCTGTCTCCCAGCTTCTCCCAGGCGCTGCGATTGCCGCCCACCTTCAGCCAGTTATTGGGTGAGTTGGATTTTCCGGTCACCCAAACAAAGGCGGACTGCTTCTCAGGGTTTGCGATGGCATCCTGCACCAGCTGCGATTCCTTGGACACGTAGTTGGGCGTCAGGTCGAGAATAATCCTGGTATCGCTGCCCTGGTACTGGGCCACCAGACACTTGATCTTCTCCTCCACCTCCGGCTTCTTCACGTCGTAGGTCAGAGCAGCGGGCAACTCATAGATGGCTCCAGCGCTATGGATCTTCTTGGCCACCTCGACATCCAGCTTATTGCAGGTATCAGCACTGCCGAACTTGGCATGTGGTCCACGCTTGTACCAGGGCAGTGGCTGCGGGGCAGCGCACTTGGGAGCTCCAATGATAATCAGGATGGCACCCACAAGCATGCCCACCCAAATGGCCCAGAAGCCCACGAAGAAGATCCAGCGCAATCGCACCCAGAACGGGTCGTTGGCATACTTCATGAGCTCCTCCTTGCTCATTCCAGTGAAGGCCTGTAATGGAAAAGGTCGAGATTAGGGAATTAAAATGGTACTTGAAATAAATCCCAAAAGAAAATATAAATATTAAACAAATTAAATTAGATTAAAAAAGAAAACGACATTTTAGCAGAGCAGCATTTTAACAATGTGCGAATATTTAAAATTTTTAAATGTATAAAATTTGACATCGTTACATATTATTAAAATACATGATTTATTTAATACAAAAAGAAAGCGAATTCCAAAAAAGTATGTACGGTTATTAGAGGTCAAGAGAAGGTCGACGACCGGAAAATCATATTGAGCACAGTCAAGCATACATAAATCGAACTTCTCCAACACGACGTGTTTATTGGTCAAAGTTAATACTAAGTATTATTATGTTTCTTTTTGATAAATAATGTTTTCTCAATAATGCTTTTTATTAATTGGTTGAAAACAATAAGTATTATGTACATTTTTCATTTAATAGCAAAAACTTCTACTCACGGGCTTGCCTCCGTTGACCGTTCCGATGTCGATCTTGGCATCTCCGTTCTGGTGATCGCCCTTGATGAACTTCACCTCATCCCGACGCTCGGCCAGCTTGTCCTCCACTCCATTCGATCCCAGCATCTGCTCGTCGGCTCCATCCGTGTGGGCCACCTTCTCGTCTTGGACCATGTCGACTGAAAAGAGAACGAATCAGCAACACAATGGTTAATTGGCTCTAATCAGTTTCAATTAAGCTTAAACGTAAAGCTCAAGCACCGAGACTTTCTCTAGAGAACCGAGTCGAGCTTTGTTAGGTTAAGTAGAAAACAGAAGCCACATTTCCCATTGTTCACCAGTGAAGGGAATGGGAAATTTTCCATCTGGGATTTCCTTATGAATATCTGGCTGACGTCACAGGAAAAGAGCCACACTTTGAGTTTGCGCTCTATGAGAAAAATGGACCTGTGGCTAGCGTTCGTTCAAAATCAATATCATCTTTCGTTTTCTGTATACCTTTCTTATCTCTCGTCATTGATAAGGCATACCCACACACCCACCATTTTCGCATACATTTACAAAACTCCTATACATACTCGATAATATAAATATAGATACTTAGATACATATTTATGTACGTTTCCAGTGAAAACTCGACATATTATTACGTCAGCCGTTCATTTTCCCCCAGATGTAGATAAAATTGCTTTGTTTAATTACCTTTTTCGGGGTTCGAACTGCCTCCCAGAAATTTGTCTTCGGCTATAGTTTTGTACACTTCCGCGGGGTCGGCTGGGGTTTTAGCAGCTCCGTTGATTGTACTATCTGACACGACTAAAATAGAACACCGTAAAATTAGCGAGATGAACGCGTTTCGGATTCAGTTTGTAGTGGCGTTTTCGGGTTCGGGTTGGGGTGGGTTCAATTCTAACAGTGCGACCGCCGTCCATCTACCGGATTAATACCATGTGAGCAGGTTTATACCCTCTGCACACTGTGCAACGCTGTTGCAATTTTAATCGGAACTGCTTCCACTGAAAATCGCTTCAGCGCGCAGCTGAAACAAGCAACCCCGAAACCGGAAGACGTGCCAATTTAGTGGTACTGAAAATGAAATGGATTACAACTCAAAACTGATTACAATATGAATGCTAGCATATGGAATGTTTTCAGCGGCAAATGATTTATTTATTGTTATTAGTTGTTATTAGCAAATGAGAATTCCTCCAGCCAAGCGTAGTGAAAGCTAATTGTGGACCAACAGAGACGAATCGAGAATTTCCGCAAATTAGTACCCTTTTAAATATTTATAGCACCTTACTCCCACACGCTTCATTGACTATAATTTGGTCAATTTTGGGAAATGTAAGCGCTTACAAAAATTTAAAGCGAGTAGAAAGGCGTATAATGTTTTATGCAACAGTTGCTATATCTTGCCAAGAAGAAAATACGCTGGATGTTGGTAATTCCCTAAAGAAAGGCAAAGCAATATCTACTTTCACGATGAAATCATTTTCCGTTCCGTGCCGTTGCAAGACTCTTTGGACTCCCTGGCGATTAACGAAAATGCCTTCCCAACAGGATTCACAATTACCAACAAAAACAAGCGCCCTCTGGCCGATGAACGGTGAACTAAAAAGCCTAATTGGTAACACTATGCGTATGCGCGTTATTTTGGGTAAACGTAAGTGTTAGCAAACGTAACTTGACTAAAGGGGAATTACTACAAATTTTGAAACGGTCATACGTTTTTATACCCTTGCAGAGGGTATTATAATTTTGGTCAGAAGTTTGTAACGCAGTGAAGGAGACGTTTCCGACCCCATAAAGTATATATATTCTTGATCAGGATCAATAGGGAAGTCGATATAGCCATGTCCGTCTGTCCGTCTGTATGTCTGTTTCAATACCGTTTGCGAGCTCAGTTTAAAAGCTAGCGCCTTGAAACTTTCACAGTCGTCCTAAAACATGTGTACGCAGATCAAGTTTGAAAGCCGACCCGATCGGACGTCTATATCCTATAGCTCCCATAGGAACAATCGGATATAGCTTTCACAAAAATGAAGATATTTCGCTCAGTGTAAGAGCTATTGGCATGAATCTTTCCAAATCGTATTTTTTTGTGCGTACCTTGATCAGGGTAAAAGCGCGTGCCGATCGGACGTCTATATCTTATAGCTCCAATAGGAACAATAGGGTGAAATCGGTCAAAATTTGACGTTTTTCAGGATATTTCGCGCAAAATATTAGCTATTCCCATGAAACTTTCCAAATCGTATTTTTTTGTGCGTACCTTGATCAGGGTAAGCGCGCGTGCCGATCGGGCGTCTATATCCTATAGCTCCCATAGGAACAATAGGGTGAAAAATTTTAAAATTGTATTTTTTCAATTATAAAATATTTTGTTGTTTATTAATTTATGTTGCTAGTCTAGTCAAGTTTTAATTCGTAAAATCTGCAAGGGTATTAAAACTTCGGCTTGCCGAAGTTAGCTTCCGTCCTCGTTTAATATTTTTCCGAACATTTCGGGGTGGTTTCAAGTAGTCTTACAAAAGCCATTTGCTACGAAACTGAATGGCGCGAAATTGAAATTGCTGGTTCAGAGAAACTTACCAGTCGCTGGAAGTGTGACGGAGTTCTGAAACATTAGTGTTTATAAGCTTTAAAACATGAAACAGCTCTAATTGGCTCTACTTACTTTACTGGCACCTCCACCAAAAAGTTTTAATCGTGAAAGTAGATTCATGGCAATGGTTTTTTCTTTAGTTTTCCTTAAGTTTCTTAGTTTATTTCTGCAAATAAAATTTAATTTGTTTTAAGTATTTAAGGAAATTAACAAGAAAAGAAACACTATGAATTCGCTAATAAATAAATGAAACCATTTTAGTAGATTTATAACAATATAGTTTTTTAATTTTATAAATTGTTGTTATTATATTGTTTAAAGTTTAGATTAATTATTCAATTAGCTTGTTCGGGATGACAATAGATTACACACTTGATCATAAAAACTTTTTTTAACACTCAGCTTAGAAAATAAAATATTATCTAAGCCTTTTCAAAAACAACTATTTACTTTGGGCGAATTTTTGGCACTGGCTCGTATCTTTCACTGTGACCTGTCCGACAAGAGCTCTGAGTCGCGACTAAAGCTGCATTTTTGCGCTGGCAGTGCATCGCTCCCAGAGGCACAGCCCCCGATCGGAATCGCTCCTCGAATTTGATTTAATTATACCTGTGAACGAAACGCGTTCCGTGTGCGTAAGTACGATTTATGGCCTGCGGCGATTGAGCCGGGCCCAAAAACTACCTGTCTGCGTGGCAGCTTACCTGAACTCTCTCGCTTGTCCAACTGCCAAGTTGGTGGATCGGGTTTTGCGGATAGCCGCCCCGCCAGACCAGAGAAAAAGTGCACTCGTCGGCGCATTCCTGGCCAAAAAAATCTGCTGAGTTGCCGGGTGTTTGAAGAAGAGTCTGCCGACTCCACAAGGTTACCGGCCAGAACTTAAATTAGTGTAGCTGGGCCACACAGAAATTGATCAATTTCTGCATTACCCTGCATTACCTTTGGCCGATTAAGCGACATGCAAGTGTCATTAGCCTATTAAGTGGGAGCTATATATATGGCAGAATCGAGTTGGCTTAATATCAACTTGACAAAATGGGCTTCCACATGGTACGACAGCTGCTGCTCTCCGGATTCCTGCTGGTGCTGCTCCAAGTGGTGACCCAAACGCAGGCCAGGCCACAGGTGACTAACGAGGATAATCAATTCAAATCTGATTGTTGTCTTCCATTACCAGGATGTGATCACAGTGGCCGGCGAGGAAACAGAGGTGGTGATCAAGCAGGAAGGCGAGGGCGATGACGATGACTCATCCTCCGAGGAGACAGTCGAGGATTCGGAAGAGAACAGGCGCAGGCGGCGGGAGGTGAACACGGACAACACGCCATTGGCTCGAGCCGTCATTCCAGGTTTGCCAGATCCGGCCACCATAATCAAGATCGCTGAGCTTTTTCAATCCGTAGGCGAGCAAATAGTCCCGATCCTGGTGGAGGCTGTTCTCCCCAGCGTGGATGAAGCCGGCGATCGATTCGCCAGATCCCTGCAGTTCCTTAAAAACTTCAGTCCCGGATTGGAATCGTTTGCCACCGAAAAGAACGAATAGCCAACATAATAGGGGCACAAAGTGGAGGAGCTGAACCGGAATTCGTTTGGTATCTGGATAAAGGATGTTTTACAAGTGAATTAGACTAGAACATCGTTTGGTTTCATGAGTTTCTTAAAAAAAAAATGAATTTGCTTATAGAGTATAGAGTACTCCTGATTTCAACAACAATTATCTCAGTGAAAATATTCAGGTATCTTTATTGGTTCAAAAGATATTATTTATTAACAAAGATATCAGAAATTCAAATACTAAATTTCGCGATATTACAAATATCACCCTTTAAAAAAGAAAATAAAGTTTGAAAAAATACGTCTTTACATAATTAAATCCGTTGGGCATTCAAAATCATTGTTATACTGAACTCATTGGGACAGCATGACTTATTTGCAAATTTCAAAATCATTGGTTTACATAATATTATTTATTCTCGCCATCGAAATGCGGTTTTATTTTATATGCTTCGTCTCCACTACTTCATTTTCCGCACTAGTTAAAACAAATACGCTGCGGAATCCAGGTCTTTCCCTGCAATTTCTTTCACTTTGCCCAAATAAAATGTCAATGACGCTGTCGACGGCTTCCGACAGACTCCCACCGCATATAAGTGTTTCCGTGAAGACTCTGTGAATGAGTGGGTGAATGGGTTTGTCCACACACAGCTCATGAAGCCGATCCAAAATTCCTCCGATCATGCCACGAATAACGTGGCTAACTAAATTCTTCTCTTTAAATATTTCTTGGCAGTGACTGTACATCTTTTCCATACGATCGCCCAATTTAAGTTTATCCACTTTCACTGCCGTTCCGTTAGTATGATTGCCCGATTTAGGTTTTTCTGTTGCCACAGCCGTTCCATTAGTTCTGCCCTTGATGGCAACATGCTTTGTTTTGGTCAAAGTTCTATAGTGTCCCTTGAGAGGTGACCTACGAGCTTCTAAAATGTTGCACTGAAGGACTATCAGAATGCAGAAAACAACCACAGTGGACAAGAGCCTCTGAAAAAAAATACATTAGCTACCCATTTTTTAATCACTCTAAGCCAAATATTACCATCTTTATCGCTTTTCGTTTCAATTGCAATTGATATTCAGCTGAGGATCTCTAAATGCTTTTTGTTTTGCTTAATTTCAATTTTTCGGTTTAGGGTTACTAATAAAATTAAACGGCAACTGAACATCTTGTTTAATACGGTTATTTTATTTATTTTCTTACTTGCGTTTTTTGTTTTTAGGCTTGAATGCTATAACGAAACTGTAGAACCCTCTTAAAAACAAATGTTCGTTTTAAATGTGATAATGAAAGCACTTAAAGGATTCTCAGTATTCGGTGTTCAGTATCGAGGGCATAATATTTCCAATTGACTGCCTCGAAGAAGAGGCCCTAGGTAATTTGTAAGATTCGATCGGAAGCTGTTCATTAGCTCCTAATGAAATAATTATGCGTGGCGTCGTATCCATGTTCCTGTCTGCCAACAAAGTATTGGTAAATAATTTGCATAAATTCAAAGAACAAGCTTCTGCTGGTTCATTTTTTTCAAGGACTGCATCAGAAGATGTATGCCCATGCATTTGCTCATTAACCGTAATGACCTGACATGCCTACTATTCCTGTAATAATTTTACTTTGTTTTTCTGACTTCTTTTGGGGGCGTGGCGATTTCGTATCACCCCATCGCAAGGTCAAATACCTTTATGTTGAGCCTTATTTTGAAATCTCAAGTATCTTTCCGACTCCAAGTGTGCACACAATCAATGCTTATCGTAGCTTTGTTCAACAAATCTGAAAGGGGATTTGTTACTTATGCTGTTTCTGTAATTTGTATAATATTTAAGATATTTCATTTCAACAGTCCTAGTATCATTGAAACTTTAACACATAATGTTATTAAAGATGGAAAAACAGGTCTCGCTATACATTATACAATTTATCTGAATACCAGTTAAGGGAACGATTTAATATTATTTTTAAAAAGTTTTGTGAGTTTGTATGCTAATTAATTAGGGAAAACAAATGATGTCTCCATAATTTAACCCTTTAGACAACAACTCCTTCCTTTTATTGCAATTTTTTTTGGTATTAGTGAAAATATAATTTTAATAATCTGAACTAAGTAACGCCCGTTCCTTTGGGCATATGTATTTCTGTTCGCATGTCCGTTTCTAGTCCCTCAGCTTTAAGGATTAAACTTTTCCAAAAGTCCTCATCATCGGAGCGAGCCGGATCGGACCACTATATTTATGTCTCCCATGGGAAATGAAAAAATGAAAAAGAAAAAAATTCAAGCTTTGTAGCCTTAAATAATAATGTTGATTTTTAACAATTTAAAAACCACATTTGAAACAATAAAATAATTCGCTTATAATCCAGATTCAGCAGCGATCCCAATGCGATCGCAAATAAGAAGAAAAAACACATCTTGAAGATCCTAAAAGTATTCCCATTTCATTGTTTAACAAAACAATTTTACATGTAAGATGTATGTAAAATATTATTTTTACTTTCAGTACAGTCGACAAACTCTAGGTGGTGACACGTAAAATTTAACAAAGATGAGTAGATTACTTTTTTGATAAGTTTACTAACCAAAGTAAGGGAAAGAACGTTACTATTTTGTTAATATTGATTGATGTAAAATTTTTTTTGCTGCCTGACTAAAAAGCAACCTAAAAGGACTTTGCAAACTGAGAAGAACAGGGCTGCACTTCCATAAAACCTTAACCGAAATCTAACCCAAACAAACCAGGACAAAAGAAAATGTGTTCACTACGTTTTAATCTCGAATTTATTTATAAAATAAAAACACATTTCTTTTGTTCAAAACAATCCATAGAAATAATATACACGTTTTAAAAAGCGTCGCTTGCATAACCAAAAATACAAAAGTATAGAGCAATAGATACGTAAAGCGGATAAACTTGGCGATCGAACAGTGGAATTTTGAAGACCATCGCCTCGTCGCCAAAGGGTGTATATTAAGGTATTAAAATTAGATGAACGCCGTACTCGCCGAGACTACCACTAAAGTTCTCAGCAGCTATGAACGATCTATGTACATGCACATGGATGACGGGATGCATAAAGTATTGGAGGATAAATGTGGATATATCATAATAATAGTTGAGAAATGATCGTTAGACAGAGCAGAGCAGTTTGCCAGCGATGTGTGATCCTTACGTGCGATCACCATGGATTGTCCATGAAATAATGTTTTTGTTTTCTTGTCTTTAATCTTGACCTTGATGCGAATTCGATTTGGCTTAGATGTAGGCTTGGACTCCCTATGCTTACGTTTAATTTAAATGTACGGTAATTTAATTGGTAGCGTAATTAATTTATGTTTATGTGTGTTTCATGTTTGGCTGGCTGGCTGGTTGGCTGGCGTGGCTCACTTGTTGCCGGCGTTCACGAGCACGCGCTGTCTCGTCGACGAATTCAGGGCCGGATTGCACATATCCGTGGTGAACTTCGAGAAGGAGTTGTGGAAGCCGTTGGCCTGGCCGTTGCGGGTGGGTGTGGGCGCCACATCGCCGTCCTTCAGCGCCTTGACGTGTCCATTGGCATGTCCGTTCGCCTTCACCGCCGGTTTGTCCTGTAAAAGAGATTAAGTTAGTTGTATTTTTGTTAATTTGTCGGGAACACAATATATAAAGGGATTTTTTCTGCAGGTTTTTTAGTTACAGTACACTTAATTTAAACTATAGATATAGTAATAAAAGTTCTTATCAACTTCATTTAAGCAGATTTATTTCAGGAAATCATTTGGTTGGGGTTTTGAATTGTTAATTAAAAAAAATTATAAAATCGTGATGAGAGTATGTTCGAATTTTAGTATTGATCAAATTGAGATTATATAAACCGTTTGAAATAACAAAAACTCTATTAGTTGAAACTAATTTTTAAAGCCCATTTTTCCTATCGCTTAGTAATTACCCAAAATCTATTAAATACAAAATTCTTACCTTGCCATCGCGCTTCACATAGGCGCGCTTGTAGAAGTTTGAGAACAGGAAGTAGAACATCACCGCATGGGCTCCGATGAAGTAGGCAAAGCCAATCGGGTAGTTGCATTCGTTCTTGAAGAACAGCTGGAAGGAGTGCACCATAACCAGGACGAACTGGATCATCTGCAGGACCGTCAGGTACTTCTTCCACCACAGGTACTTCTGCACCTTGGGTCCCATCGCGGCCAGCATGTAGTAGGCGTACATGAAGATGTGCACGAAGGTGTTCAGGAATCCGAAGAAGGTCGAATGGCCGCCGGGCGTGAACTTGACGCCCCACCAGACGGACACGGGCATGATGCCATGGTGGATCACGTGCAGCGTGGACACCTGGTCGTACCGCTTGCGCATCACGAAGAAGAACGTGTCGAAGAACTCTGTGAACTTGGAGAAGTAGTACCACCAGCAGCCCTCAGCGGTCTAAAATAAAGGCAAACAAAATATTTATTAGTTTTTATTTGATAAAATTGTAATATAATAATATTAGTTAAAGATATTCTGCGCCACCTGCATTTTCTGGACAGAACCTTTTTGGACCACTTTGAATATAAATAACCCTAATAAAATTCATTGACTAGAAATATCCCTTATTAAATATTGTCTATACCACTAATGGTCTCCAAAGAACTTATGATCGATTTGCATAGATTATATTTGATGTTTTTCCATATGGTGGTACAGTTAAACTTCCGTAACTCGAACTTTTCTAAATAAAAGTCTCGATAAGTCGAACTAGTTTTTCGGGCATTAAAGGGACTTTATTTCCTTTGGATGTTTTATCTACATTTTCTATGGCAAATTTTCTCTAACAAATTTATCTAGAAATCCTAGTCCAAACTAATATCTGAGCTCATTCATTTCCAATATTTTAGCCGGTCATTGTCATGCAAAGAACGGTCTCAGCTCGGACAGATTGATTCCGTTTGCCCTGGAACTAACGGTTGGACAAACCCCATGCTTATCAATAACTAAAAATGGGTGATTTGCAAAATCTTTCGCCTGTCAACTTTCTAAGACTGCCACTTTCTTTGGGTCATTTACCCAGTTTAGCCAGCCTGGCGACACACGTGAGATTCCTCAATCCGCACAATCCACCGGCCACACAGCCGGCCGGCTTTCGGTATCCATTTCTTTGTGATTAGCATAAGAGAACCTGTCGCTATTGCCGTTTTTTTCTAATTTCTTGTCTCTTCGTGGCTAAAAACTGGTTGCTTACATAAAATCTGCCCCAGTCAACAAAAGAACTTTGCTATTTGCCAGCCATAAGCTAAAAATCAAAATTTATAGTCCGATGTTTGGCCATACGTGTGTATATTTGCTTGGCGCGGTATATAAGAGCTTCCATTTAAATATATATACTTACACGAATCGCTTTGGGCGAGTAGGAATAATTAACGGGCTCGCATCGCAAGTTGTAGCCGTTCAGCCATCCGCCTATGCAGGACTATAAATGCAAGAGAAGAGGGGTGATAAGTATAAGTGGTTATTTTTCTGGGGAATTTCCTTAATAAAGCTAGTTTATATTACCTCGTAAAAGAGCCAGGCACTGAAGATAACCTGCGCCGCATTGTAGACGATCAAGACTTTGCGCAGCTCGAAAGGCTTTCTGTTTTCCATGAGCTTGGGTCCGAGTACCTGGGAACAAGCCGTTGATTAGTTTCAGTGTAAGTGCATCTCTTCAAGCCCGAGCCCAAACCTCGCCGTTGTCTTCGCGTGTCATTTAACATAATCAAACAGAGGCCAAAGCCTGTTGCAGCAATTATCAAATCAAATCAATCGACGCGACCGACTTTGTCTGTTGGTTTTGTGACAAGTTCGTTGCCTAAGTCTTTTGTTTGGCCAACCACAGCGCCTCCCCGCCCCGCCCCTTCCCGCATCCGCCCCCCTCGATTTTAGCAGACATGTGAAAGTAAGTTAAATGCTTTTGTAAAATTATGAATGTGATCCAATGCAAAGCGGGAAACCTAAATAGAAATCGTTTTTCGAATTGATTTTTTTCCTTTTCTTCAATTTTGCATAATCGCGGTCTGAGCTTGAGCTTGGGTCACCTTTCGACACCAGCTCTTCGAGACGATCGTCGCACAAATTGGATGGCCCTGAACCCCAAGCTCGGGCTTCACAGTCATTTTGCAATGCAATAAAGCGAAACTAGTTTGCGAAAAGGATCCGCATAATCACCAGATGAGAATCTGCCAGTTATGGTCTACGAAATCAGCGTAAATAGCCCTGTTTGTTCTGTTCTGTCCCCTTTTTTGTTCGATTCTACTGCCCCTACTGTGCCCACTCCAATAATTATGGATCGGTGATTCCCCAATCCAAAACCCCGGGGACCACTTACCTTGACGATATAGGCGTATGTCAGACTGATGGCTATCGTGGGGAACGGCGAGCTCATGAGCGGGTAGTCTCGTGTTCGCGGATCCGATTTGTTGTCCATCAGATCCCGCCAGCCGTCGTAGAACATTGTGAGGTAATCCTGCAAGTGCAAAGACCAGATAGATAACAGATTAGTCATGTGTACCAACTGGGAGTGGTTATTCACCCATTCCGGTTAGCTGGATCAAGTGTCAAATCAATAAATTTGCTGTTGGCCATTGCAACACTGTCTTAGTTAGTCTAAGTTAGCTTTATAGGTTCAAAGAGGCGGACAACTGATTGATTATGAATACTGGGCATTCTACTTTGTATTTCGGTTTTAATTAATCGAATAAATCACACATGGTGCAATGCCCGAAGACAAAGGAAACCCAAAACCACACTATTTTGGCAAAAACAACATTCTGCGCAAATTTCCGTATGCAGCTCCCCATTAGCCAACATAGCCGTGATTTTCTATAATATTTGTGAGCGGTAATTTCCCATTGTCGATTAGCACTCGACGATGTTAGCCGCAAAAATATATCCATCAAAATAAAAAGAAAAATGCAGCAGAAAAACTGGTGCAGCCGGCTGGCAGCGATGTTGCAATCCGCAATGGCCTCTTGTCCATGTGATAAATAACAAAACAAAGGAGAAAAAATCTAGAAACGATTGGACAGCCTGACCGACTGACTGACTGACACAGAAGTCGGGGGAAGAACGGCGGGGGAAGTCCACGGGGATGCCAGGAAAAGCTAAACCAGTTCCGCCAGTGTTAATCGTCGCTTAAATAGTTAAATACCTGACTGGCGGCAATTAAGGAAAACAACGCTACACTTAATTGCAGCGGGGGTTGAAGCCGTTTCCACCGAGGGGTTAGGGTTAACTTAATTGATTTGAGCGAATCAGGGGCGTATGTGTGGACGACGGAATGTCAAGGGAAGTCCGCGATTGGGAAAGCTGTACTTGTTGGGTCAATTAAATCGATACCAGCATAACTCAATTATTAAATTACGGCTAACTTTTAGTTATTTGCAATTATAATGGAAAATTCTAAGCCCAATTGTCTTAGCTCTTTTCCTGGCCTGGTTTTGTCTGCAATTAAGGAAACATTTCAAGCAGTGCAAAACTAGAAAAGTGCTAGTAATTAAAATTTTATTGTTTTAATTTGTCAAAAAAAAAAATATGTAATTATACCGCCTTGTTCTAAATTTCATTTCCGTAGGGGATTTCTTTTTAGGTTCAGCGGAAATACAATTGAGAACATGGTTAAAATTTTAATTCTAATAAATTAGTAGTGTTTTTATATAATCACTAGATAACTAAGGCTAGCTTATTATTTTCTTGCAATTCAATACCAAAACCAATTTCCTCTACTGTAACGAGATCTAATAAAGTTTATTGACTTATTAGAAAATAATTATACAAATTCACAAATCGCCTTGGGTATGCATGTGGTCTGAATTGCGGGGCGTTTTTAATGTTTGAGTTATGTATACTGAATTGTATGTAATTTGGTCGCCAAATTTGAGAGTCCGAAAGCTTAGTTTTGAGTTACGGAAAAGTCGAGTGGACAAGGCAGGTGCTATCTTGGCTTAGTCTAATTCTCGCCAAGTTCGCCCAGAGCGTTTATTTTTTGCATAACACGTAAATACGAGTTTAAGCACCCAGATGTCCCAACTACGCCACTGGCCAATCACTGCTCATCCATCATTCTCGGCCGGCGGGCCTCTCGTGCACTTGCAGCTCCAACAAGACGCAGACATCGGACATCCAAACAGTTGGAGGGGGTTGAAAACAATGCTCATTTGTCGCCTGGCCAGCTAAGTACGTCAGCAATCATCATCGGCGGAGGAGGAGGGGGTTCGCTTGGAGTAGTAGTACGCCGATCGAGCGTTGAAAGCCCCGTCATGCCGTTTGTTCATTAATGAACCCAGTCTGCCATTAGGCCGCCAGCTGAACTTACTGACCGACTGGCTGTGTGGGTGTGGCCAGCAATGTGTAATTGCTGGTTTCGGGCAGAACCGTCGTCCAAGCCAAACATTTCATCTTTCTGACGCATGGTAGTAGCCGTGTTGCAAGATTTATTGAAATCTCAGCCACTCCAGCGATCGGACTTCATGTGTCGGCAAATGACTGGCAAAATTTTCTCTTACACATCTGACGTAATTCGGGAATTCTCTTGAGCCAGTGAAGCGTCCCAGGGCGGACTTTGTCAATGATGGCGGCCAGCTCCATGATGATTCAGATTTAGATGGACTGGCCCAGAAATAAAATTTCCGACTCTGCTAGCCAGGTCACAAAGTCCGGAAGAGACAGCCTCGCATCTCAACAATGTCGCCGCTGATTGCATCTAATTAAGATTCACTTTCCGAGAGAGTCTCTGACAAAGATTTTCACTTTTTTAGGTGCGTGCTAGTTAATTGAATTTGAGGAGGGACGAGAAAAGCCGAAAGTACAAAGACCAATCTTTGGATACTCTAACGGAATAGGGAAAATTACAAAAGACATAAGTGGTGATAACTTTCAACAAATTGCATCATATAGGCAGCATCATTTATGTTACCAAAAACTTCCGTAAACTTTTAAGCATCATAAAGACATTAAAAATAATAAGAGAATCTGGTAATGATTTTTAATAATTACTTAAATTCAAGACCCAAAACCTCTTGAAAATGGAATTTCTCTCTAATTTTCCCAATTTTATAAAAAACGTATTTTAGCCTGATAATGAAAACATTAAATTTTTTAAATATTTGTTTAAAGTACTTCATAATTCAATATGGCTTTTAATAGTTAGGGTAAATCCCGACCTTGTAAGTGTCTAGCTGCTTCCGGTGCAGCACCATTTTTGGGTAATTTTCAAGCTTTCTCGTGTGTTGAAAGTACAAGACGTAGGTGTAAATCAAGTGTAAATTTGACCGATTAAAAGCCACTATTATGCCAGACACCGAGAGACTATACTGTATACGATAAGTACACTTATTAAGCAATTTGCATTGCGCTCTTCCTGGCCAACTGACGTAGGTCAGCAGCGGCTGGTGTTTTAATTTCACATATTTTATGCCATTTGATTAAGGAAAATTACTAGCGATGAGCGTCATAAAACCCGTTTTCTCACACTATCTGGGTGAGATCCATTAAGAGGAAAATAGTGTATACTTAACACGCATTATAGTGCACTATAGCCGACCACTAAGCGCAATTAAATTTAATTGTCGCTCTGTGCCGGCATTTGCTTAGCTCCGCTGCTTAGTGTCCGAAAATTCCATCAATTTATGTCGCTGCATTTCCGACTGCATGTCTTGCTTTTTTTTGGCTTTCCGCGGGGACCGAGAGGTGCTCCAGTTAGAACCGACTTTTATGGCCTTTGCAACCAGTTTTCAGCCAGTGGCAGGAGGAAGTTCAGACCGATTCCGGAACCAAAAGGAATTTCATTCATAACTGCCGCCGCCAATCAGTTTATCCAATGATCTGTCATAATTCGATCTATCATGCGAAGCCATAATTTGTCATGTCTAAGCTGGCAAGCAGTTTCTTGTTTTCGCTTTGTGATTTTATCGAAGCGCAAACAAAAGACTTAAGACACGAACCTACCGACAAGTGCGCGGGCGTGGGCGCAAAGCAAAAGTTCGACAGTCATCGCTGCTGATGGCTTCTCAAGTAGTGCGCACCACGGCTGCATTAATGAGGCGATGCCATATATCACATTAGCTAAGTTCCTAACGCTCGTATGAATACACAAAATCAAACAACATCGTTTAAAGTGAATTATTTGAAGCTGAGATTGCAATAAACCTAATGTCCAACTGGGTGGTCGGCGAATAGAAGCTGCTGGGACGTAAACAAAATTAACGGGCCATCTGTAAGCTCGCAGCAAATCTCGAATTATACTTTTGACGCGCAACGCGCGGTTTGTTGAACTTTGTTTTTGCCAAAGCAAATTAAATAAAAATACAGCATAGAGAATAAGGACAAAAAAACGGAAACCGGTATCTGTAAAAATCAACAGATCTGCTATATGTATATAACTAATATGCATACATTCTAAAAATTTCGATTGGCGCTGGGCTTTGTGTGGATCTGCAAAAGGTTGGCCAATATTTGGCAAATAATGATTCACACCGCTGGGCAAAGTTTTTAGCTTGTGTAATCCCCTAATCGAATTCTGCCGATTCACGGTGATGATGATGATGTCTTGGCCAGAATTTTAGCTTTTTTGCCAAGCTGTCTCCTGTGGCTGACAGCTGCTAGACTGTTTGGACTTTGGCCCAGCAAAATATGGCAGCTGAAAATGTCTATTATTTGATTGTATTTGCCATTACATAAAGCCGGCTTTGGTCAGTTTGCGTAAGCCACAGCATCACAGCACAGCATACCAACACTTGGCCAAATGCTGACCCTTTTTCGCTTTCTTTGGTTCACACGCGCTGGCCATCGCCACCAAATGCTTTCCCTAAAAACCCACAAAAATGCTTCCGTCAGCAGCGGCAAGTGTAAAGTGTTCAGCGGCATTTGTAATTGTTGTTTGTGGCCGCTGCTGTTGCGCGTTACATTTTAACGCTTCATTATGCGCCATAAACTCGCAAGGGGTCCAGAGAGCCGGACAAATGAGCTGAAATTTACAGTGCCCATGATTTGGGCAGTGGCTGCTGCTGCTGCTGCTGAAGCTCCTCAGTCACCATTCACCATTCATATCCATCATCATTGTTCGATGTCGGTGTCGCCATCGACGCCAGCAACTCCCCATCTAGGCCTGACCCACAAGGCAGTGACTAAGCCGCCGCACTGGGAACTGGGAACCTTTTGCCGGACAATGATTGTTTTTAGTCGCACTCGCCTGCGACAAATTGTCGCCCTAATGTGTTGCCAGTGACTGTGTAATAAGCGATTGGCAGTGAGACGGCCACTTTGGCCATAATCGCTGCTCACTGGGTTGGGCAAGTGGCAAGCGGCAAAAGGCAAACGGCCGGCCAAGCTGGCTGTCAATCACACTGGAATCAAGTATTTGAATATCTCAATCAAGTCAATTAAGAATAGCCACCCAAAAAAGCTGAATCTTGTCATCAAATTAAAATAATCCCAAGTCCATCAATTCAATGTGGGATGAATTCAATGTGTTATATTTTCAAGTTAGAAATGCTTTATATTTTTTAAACCACCTCAAAAATGTAAAACATCAAAATATGATTTTTTTATTAACTAGATAAAATATTTATTTTACTGATCTTACTCTAACTGTTTTAAATAATTTTTCAAGTTTATATTAGTGTCTTAATCTTAACAATAAACCCACCAAAACATAATTTAATTATGTTAAATAAGCCCCTTAAGTTATCACCAGCTTATACGCATTTTTTTCTCAGTGCTGCATCTAGGCCAAAAAACCCCAGACATATTCAGGGTTTTATGGTTCACATTCCCGCTTAGCTTTTGTTGATTTAACTAATTAATACCACTATTCCAATTTCAATGCCATCGTCTTTAGCTCTTTTTACAGTTTATTATTCATTCAAACTGGTGGAAAAAAGTCAAAGGCATTCATCCCGAACCCCGAAGCTTGCAAAATAAAAATTCCACGAGCTGGCTGCATTTTTGATCATTTAAATTTTTGGCTTTGCACAATTTGACCCAAAAGCTAATATAAATCAAATGGCCGGGGGACAGAAACATATTTGCTAACATTTGCAGTGGGCTGGTGCCCAGTTCCACCGACTACCACAGTCGACAAAAGCAATTAAATTATCAGCGACAGAGCAGCCTCTATCGAACAACAAAAATGTTATTAACACTTTACAACATGTTGGCAATTAATTAAGCCAAGCGTCCGAAATCCCGACGCCCGCTCCCCTGACTTCAAGTTCCGTCCCAGAGTGTCCGAAAAAAAAGTATCTGACGGGTTTGAGTTTCAAATGCATAATTGGGAAGACAACAAAGAGCGAAGCGTCTCTCGGCTGACGCAGAGAAGAAGATGATATAGGTGTTGAGGCTGCGATGTAGTAACAGACATCAGTTCAAATCTTAATATTTTTAGTACGTATGTATTTCTTTACAAGGCCAACCGGCCAAGCGGTTTACTGACTGGGATTTTTTGTTTTTTCTTCTTATTTCTCTTGTTATTTTTGTTATTTTTGCAATTGGCCTGGCGAGAGAGACAGGTGACAGCATTAGCATCTCCAAATCTCTTTCTTTGATTTATTTTAACGACTTTTATATAAGGCTCTTCTGCCAGGGCGGCACTAAGCAATTTGCACAGTAAGAAAAAATTATGGTTTCCCGTTTGTAGAGCCGCATAATTGTCCAGCTCAACACTTTTACTTTCCCAGCAACAGCAACCGAAAAGAAAAAGCAATAAGAGATAAATTTAAAGGGCCAAACAGGTTTGCACCCATATGATATATGATTTTAGCATCGGGGGCTTGGGCATTGCGGGGATTGATCGGAGCCGATCGAAGCTGAGACCCAAACTCGTGTCGCACTTAATGATTTTCGATCATTAAAGAAAAAATTGCTTTGAATGGAGGGGCCAAAGAAAAATCAAACACAGTCGCACGAACCTGCGCAACATAAAAATCAATTTATAGGTCAAGTTGAGCGCAGCCAACAGGGGGATCAAAAGAAACAGAGGTATGTATGTGTATCTGTATCTGCAACTGGCTTTTGGAGTTAACATTCAGGTTCGGACCGCGACTTTTACTCCAGCGGCATCTTGTCTAATATGACGAGGCGATGATGCAACACCCCAAACGATTGGTTAAATGCGTAAACAAATCTTCGGTAAATGGAAAGCCATAAAGGAAAACACCACAAGGTAAAAAATAAAAAAAATAATAAGACAATAAATTTGTACGTAAAACGGCGATTACAGCCCAATGATCGATACCCGGCTGTTGTTGTGGGTCAAGTTGAAAATGCAGCGCGCGTTTTTAACTTTCAAACGAACACCGAGTTGCACGCGACTTGCACGCGATCGAAATCGCAGGCGATTTCCCAACAGAAGTCGGGGCAAAAAAACGCGGCAAATACACTTGCCACACTAGCAACACATGATATATGGGGGCCTACATCCATCCGCATTTGTGTGCGTTTCGCCAGAGAAGTCTTGACTCCGGCCACTTTTTCAAGCAACTAAATCGCGTTAATTTGGCAATCGAGCTTGTATGTGGTTCTTGCTAACCTGCCGCCCGCTTGTCGCTGGCCCCAAATCCCCAGTAATTAGTGCAAGACATTTTTTTCCGAGTGCACATATGTGAGCTGCCCCAAGGAAGTCGTGTTGTTGCTCTCGGGGGCGGTTTGACTCCGCTCACTGAATTCAGCAGCGTTTCAAGTTGCAAGTTGTTGAAATTCACATAGGAAGAAATAAAATGTAAAAACAATTTTACAATTTTCAGAGAATTTACAATATAAGTTCGAGTATGTAGATTTCTTTCTGTATGCCTAATTTTATGTGAATAAGATTTTTTTTTGTTTAAAACCCAATTGGGTTAAGAGTCAAATAAAAACAGATTTTTATGGTCAAAAGATTGTTCTTTTTTTTTAGCTGGCATACAAAATTATAAAATTTAAAATATTTATTTTTTCTTCAAAGTTTTTTGCCAGTGTAAACAGTATTTGCTGCAACTAAAAATCTCAGTTAGTAGTCAAGTGCACAGCTGCAAATACTCCACAGGTTGGCTTAATGTGCGTAAATGTAAGTGTAAGTGTAAGTGAGTTCCCCAAATGCCATTTGAAAGCCTCGATTCGGATATTTTAGCTGATTCATTCTACATTGCGTCTGTCAGTCGGCGAATGTTGATTTTTTCGTAAGTGTATGTGGCGTTAATGTTGCCAGTCAGGTTAGACGTTTGCATTAAAAATGGTACCTTACCATCTGGGATCAGGTATTTAATATACAATTCCGATTCGAATGACGAACTTTGCTTTTCGTCCCTGCTGCCATTTCCCTGTTTAAAGTTCCCTGCCCTCGGGCCCGTAAATCACTAGCCATACAATTAAACAAGCAATGACTTTTAGCGGCTCAATCATTTTACATTCACGTACTTATCAGGTTTTTTCTGTCCTCTAATTTAAATATTGTTTTCGCCCCCCAATGTGGATTATTTAATTGCTTTGTGTTCGGATTAAATGATTCGAAAATTTCACACAGGCAAGTGCGTATGTCCCTTTTTGGTGCAATTTATTTATATATTTACTTTAATAACAATAATAACTATTTTTGGTTCAATCACCGACAAAAAAGTTCTTAAAAGAGACACGTAAAAAAGCAACCTTGAATCGAATATCATTATCCCTCATGAAGTCGCACTAATGTAAATTAGTTGAAACAAAAATTCGTTGTATTTAGACGGCTGACCTACTAACTAATTTAAAATATACAAATAAATTAACTCAATCGACCCAATTAAAAGCGACAAATATGTATAAATTATTTGTTGCTTTGGGGAATGAAGATTTTGTAAAAATTGCAAAAAGCCACTCAAAAGGTTGTAAAATATGCCAACAAGCGTGTTTGCATGACGATTTAAAAGCTGTTATTTTTAGTGTTTTTTAACACCTTTACCGGCGTATCTGCGTATCTTTCCTGTCTAATCTCAAACAGGCAATAATTGAATTTCAAATGACACTTACTTCAATCACGGGCCGATAAGAGTCCATAAATATCGTCATTTTCGGGCTGCTCTTCGTCTTGGGGTCTCTTTACTTTTATCTACCGGGCCTTCTTCTCTTTGCCCGCGTTATCAGTTCTCAGTTTTCAGCAGGGAGAGCTCTACACTGTGTTTAACTTTAACACAACTTTCTGAAACACACGCACTTTTCTCAATGTTGACCGATAAACCTTTGGCCAAATGGCCAATTAGCATTTGAAGTGGGCGAGCTGAGAAAATCGCGCATACGCCGCGTGGTGCCAAACAAATCGAAAATCGAAATGGAGCAGCAGTGCACTGCGATCGCAGTCACATGCGGCAGACCTTATCTCACTCACACTCTTTTAACTATTCGCTCTAGCTATGGTTTTCTACTATTTACAATTGGTAGGCTCTCCCTACACCTATTTTCTCTTACCAAAAACAGCTGAGTGCCGAGCGGCAGCCAACGATAAAGCTAACTGGCTCTCTAATGTGGCTAACTGGCCCACAGGGACTGCAAGCAAATCGACTGATTAAAGCACATTTTTTTATTATGATCACTCAGCGGGGGCTGCGCAGTTTGGCAACTGGGTGGCAGTACCTATGGCTCTACACTGAAAAAAAATCAGGGTCAATTCTAGCTTATTTCATGTCAATAAAAAAGCCGATATGATTTTTGTCTAAATTATGATTCCAAAATATCAATGTGATATTTTATCATATCATATAAAAAACTAAATTTAGTATTTTTTGAACAAATAACGTAAAATAAGATAAGCAAATAAGATTATTCTTTAAAAAATGTAAAATTGACCAGCACATATCAATATGATATTTTTAAAATTTTTTGTCTGTGTATGGCTCTAACTAGCAAACAACTGGCCAACTGGCCTAGCTAAATTCGCCGCCAGCGTCTTTGCACTTTTCAGTGTCAAAAGAGCCAACACAAAAATGCGGCAAGAGTCCCAGTCGAAAATAAAGTCGAGGTGTAATAATTATTGTGTAAGAGGCTAAAAAGGAGAAGAAAACAACTCGAAGATTTGAATAAGTTTCGATTTCTGGGTTGCCTGTTTTTTTTTTCATCTCTTTTTTTTGGGATTTTGTGAAATGGTGCAATGCCAGTGATCATTAGCCAGCGGCAGCGGCGATTGGTAAACCCACTGGGATTTTTTTCTTTCTCGAATTTGCAGAGCTGGCGCTGAATGAATATGAAAATCACTGGATTTCTACACCCAGCAGCATCTGCAATGATGGGCAGAAAGCATAAGTAAGGCGGACTGCGCAAAGCGGTTGGTTGGCCTGGCCCTGGGGAGCTATCATTTCACCGACGTTCCGATTGGATCGCCAGTTATCCCATATCCCCGCTCGAGATTCGAGATTCAAGGTCAGCGCTGCACTGCATTTCCGTGTGAAATGTTGTCGGGGCAGCTAGTGAGCTGGTCAAAACCTAAAGCAAAAGCCAGCCTTCACTTCACTTGACCGCCAGCGAGCGATGTCGTTGATGTTGCTGGTGGAGTGCAATTCGTGTTGCTGCTGCCACCGCAGACGTAACAAAGCAGCAGCGCCGAAATAAGTGCAGCACTTGCATTTTCTGTGCTCACTTTTCGCGAAACTCAAGTGCGAATGACTTTAGCAAAACAGAAAACGCTCACGTTTTGGGGCAGAAAGCGGGGGAAAAGCGTCGAAAGGTCTGCGCGGAGTCGGCAAAAATGCATTTGAGAAAGACATTGAAAAACCTTGCTGGCGAATGTGTACTTGAAAACGAAAACCAGTTGCTGTCGTCGGTTTTTTTCCATTTCCAAAGAAAGCGAATAAGAACCAGGAATGGTTGGTGTGCAAAAGGTTTCCTCGATGAATAATGTGATCAATTAACTTTTTACGGCTGCCTGGCGGATGTTCATCACAGGGGATTGGGGTTTTTATTTTTTTTATTAATATTTTACTTAATAACAGCACACACAAGTCGTGTGCAAAGGGTCATTTGTGGGATTGATGGAAAGCCCAAGTCAGGCTTGCATGTTGGGGGTCGGCATCGAAAATTACTGGTTGGCTATAGCCATTTTAATAAAGGAGGATTTCGGTTGAATCAATTTTCCATTGAGTCACACTTACACACTGGGAATGGGAACCCCCCTACTTACCATTTTCTTTTTTTTTAATAAAATTCGTTGTTTTCAGGCACTAGAAGTCGGTTTATCTTGCGATTAATACAAGGGAACGTATTAAATATATATTCACTTGGCTAATTTACAGAGATTTTCTCAACTTTGGCATACGATTTATCACTTTGAGCGCACTATCCTTGTTCGTTTGGTTTTTTATCTTGATTTTCAGAGTTTATTATTTCGTTTATACACGCACACACAGTTTGACCATCGTTATAGGGTTTCTTGGTTTCTACATCACTATTTGTGGGAACTGCTGATGATGCTGCGACTGAAACAGCTACTGCTGCTGCTGGACTTTACTGGACAACAACTGGACAGCGACTGGGCGAGCGTGCGCTTTTTACATTCAAATCAAAAACACTGAAATAAGTTTGATTTCACGCTGTCGCTTTACTTTTATACCGACTTGTAGGTGACGCCGGCGCAGCGTCGACGCCAACCGCTCATTTTCGGCGAGCGGCCTGTGAGCCGAAGTCAAAAGCTTTCGGCCAAGTTCTGAGCAACAGGTTGTTGTGGCTGTACGGGCCATTTTACTACTACCTTACTTTTCTCTCGCTCTGGCAGCCGGAATGGCATTTTGATGGTTTTTCGTAAGGATGCCAGAGAGAGAGCGACCTTTTGGCCCTTTGGAATGGAATCACGAAATTCTGGGTATCGCACACCTGCCTTTGCACCCACACCCAAGTGAGGCGCTAATTACGGTTAATCTTAGTATCGGAACGGGACTTTTTCGCGATGATAGCACCGTTCAAAGTTCCTCAAGAATATCCGTTAATTAACCCCGGCCTTTCGTATCGGAAAAGTGTGCAAAAAAAACTATCAGATTCACATATTAATTGGGATTAGAGAGTGGAGTCCAGAGAAAAGGTCGCCAGCAACAAACCAAAATCTTTGAATATGTATTTGGTCAAAAGCAGATGAAGACGATGGAGCTGCTAAACCAGTTTGTCTCTTGGGCTCTTAAATATTTATAATGCCCAAGATTTGGATTTTCTCTGTTTGCCTTCGTGGTGTTTAATAAACGGCCAAAATGCGCCGTGAACTTGTGAAACAAACAAAGCTCCCAAACGGGGAAGATTGTGCAGGCTACCTGGCGTATACTTAATATTTTAGAGGACCTGTCGTGTGGGCTCAACAATTAGAATGGGGGTTACGGATCGAACTTTGACAGTCGCTTCGATCGACTATTTACTTGCCCTCAATTAACGACCCTTCTACCACTTTAATTCTAATTTACCTGCTAAAAGTCTCACCATTACCCCACAATTCCAGTGCGTTTTTCGACAAAAAACCAAAGCAATGCAACAACGCAAACATTTGCATTTCTCATCTCAAAGTCCGCTGCATGGCCGCAGAGTACAAGATCTTTTTGCGGAATTCTAACCGAATAACACGTAACCGGCCATGTAATCTAGCTGCCCCGAATTAACATGTGCAAACAGTTGGCGGGGGAGACGATGAATATGCATAAACTGGTAGCCCTTTGCTGATCCCATCTAGCAGATCCGACACACGCGTCTGCCATATTGGGGGAAATTTGAATACAATTTTTTCAAGGGCTTTTCTAGTGGCCGTATGACTAGCGGATCACAATAAATTGATCACGTTAGATCGACGGGAAATGCCATTTATGGAACATCAAAGGTTGCCTGAGAATATTTCTTAAGATGGTTGGAAATATTTCCTATGATTCTAAAAATTTTCCATTTCATGAAAACGATGATGTAGCAGCTTTTTTAGTTTTGTAAAAGAATATATCTTTAGATGGAGATGGATAATGATATTTACTACACAGATAACAAATTAACAAAAGATCAGATAAATATGTGGTGGTCAATTTTATATTGTGTAAAGTTAAAGTTATTCATATCATTTTGATATGAATAAAGATTACGTTTATCTTATTTTACATTATTTGTTCAAAAATACCAAACTTGGTATTTTATATGATATGATAAAATATCATATTATTACGTTTGCATTATAAATTTTACATAAATTGATATAAAACAAGAGAGAACGCTATAGTCGGGTGCCCCGACTATCAGATACCCGTTACTCAGCTAAAGAGAGTGCGAAGGAGATAAAAACTTTGATCCTCCGTAACTTTTTAACGAATGGTCTGATTTAAAAACTTTCTTCTACATTTCGATAGGTATTCATAAACACAATAAAACTGCATTTTTACTTTTCCGAAATATTGAAATTTTTAAAATCGTATATAAGCGATTGTGGGCGTTAGAGGGGGCGTGGCACCCTTTTGAAACAAACTTGCGCTGCGTAGGAACTCCTAGAATCTGCATGCAAAATGTCAATCTTCTAGCTTTTATAGTTTCCGAGATCTCAGCGTTCATACAGACAGACAGACGGACAGACGGACAGACGGACATGGCTAGATCGACTCGGCTAGTGATCCTGATCAAGAATATATATAGTTTATAGGGTCGGAAACGCTTCCTTCTACCTGTTACATACTTTTGCACGAATCTAATATACCCTTTTACTCTACGAGTAACGGGTATAATAAGGTAGAATTGATACTATTTCATATCGAATTTTTTTCCTGTGTATGACTCTACAATTTTTCATTTCATTTTCTATGTAGTTGGGTTATGTAATGCATTCTGTAATGAAGAACGCAGATCACGAAAACCTCTTTTCAAATAGAAGTCTTACTCTCTTGTGTACCCACCAATTCTCAATATATCTTGTGAAATCTGTATAGGTGCCTGCAGGCCACGCCTTACAACATTTGGTTGAACTAAAAACTAAATAAATGAGCACTTTATAGTCAAATAAGACCTTGAGTGTGAGCAAAAATTTGCATACAAATGAAAATGTTAGCCCAATCTACAAAATATTCAAAAATGTGAAGAAAAATTAATTAATAAAAGTGCACAAGTTTTGTGATTTAAGTATGCTAATTTTTCAAAGTGCATTATGCATTCCGAAAAAGTTGAAGGAACTTGGCCGCGACTCCCGATCAATTTCACATGTGCCGTTTATCCGCCTTATGCTGATATGTTGACCAGTGCTGCCATCACTCAGCTTGAAAAACAGGACAGATAAGCCAAAAAAAACAGGGAAAAAAAGGACAAAAAATTTTAAAAAAGGACAAAAAAAGGGACAAAAGTAAATGCGCCTCCATTTTTCTGTTTTACCAATGGGTTATATAATTACTTAACTTAAATGGATTTTATATTAAATTCAATTATGTAATGACCTACTGCGCCCGACTCACATCCTTCTTTGTTTGATCATTTTACCATGGTTAATTTTTGTGCGTATACGTAATAATCTAAAATTATTAAAATAATAAAAGCATTTCAAGTAACTATAATGGTAATACAAAAAAATGCCATATCTGCGTCAAACCCGAATAAGGGCCGGTTTCTCGAGTGCCGGCTAACATTTCTCGAACAGATAAAGTCCCTGCTAAGGCATTTTGGCTTTCTCGAGCATAAATGTGAGAGCTAACTTTGACAGGGACTCGGAGTCCCTGTTAAGCGTTTTCGACTCGATAGAATGACAGCTGATTTCCCAAAGCCAACTAAGAAGAAGAAACGAAATCACAGCTGACTTTTCCTTAAAATTATACCCAAACAGCTGATAAAATAATCGAAGCATGCCATTTTTTGCGCTTCACAGCACAATTCTGTGCGTTAACAGCACTCTGTAATTGTTTCTCGTTCAGATAAATTAAAGCAGTCGAGAAAGCGGATTTGCTTTTACGAACAGTTTATCTGGTATTTAAGTTTTTCGAACAGATAGCTATCAGGGACTTTGACAGGGACTCGAGAAACCGGCCTTAAGAGTCGTTAAAATCTGAAATTTTTTTCTGACAAAAAAGCAGAGAGTAAAAATTGAGAAATTTTTAAAGTGTTTTCCTTTTTTTTTTGCTACAGAAAAAATCGTACTATATAGAAAATCCATCGACTGCTTTACGTCTCTTTGATAATTTGTAAAAATAATTATTTTTTAAGTGCCGAACTGTAAGATTGATGGTTAAAAAGGCGTTTTAGCATATAAAAACAGGTTTACACACTTCGACTGGCAAAAATAACACTCAAGACCTTTTTTTTGAAAAAAGGACAGATTTCCGGATAGGGGATGTTTGAAATTTTTTCCGGTTAAACCCGTTAAAAAAAGGACAGATCTGTCCGGAAAGAGGACAAAATGGCAGCACTGATGTTGACCATCAATCAGACCGAAATAAACCTGCACTCGATGGCCGGAACCGTCTGGTTTTTTTGTTTCTTCCGGTGCTCATTCCCTGGCAGGAGGACAATGACTTTTTGCCGCGGCGCTTCTCAGCGTTATGTGTGAGTTTTGGGTTTTTGCGAGCACACGCCGCGTATGCTTAATGGCACAACCTTCGGCCCAGAAACATTGACTTCAATTCGAGTCTCGATCGGACGAGCCAGGTGACGATCTGACGATCGTAATGATGCCACGCAGATGGACCGCGTCCAATTTCGGCATCATCTGGTGGGTGTCGATCGCCGGCCAAAGCCATTGTTTATTGGGCCAAGCTTGGGAGTGTTTTTTGTGATATTGTGATTTTGTGACTCCGGGTACAGCTCTTTGTGGCGCTTGTTTTTGGACTCTCGTTAGCATTATTGGCCTTATCCGCGCTTGGCGATAATAAAAAACCCGAGTTCAAGGTTGCGCCTCTCGTAAAATAATCAAAACGATCAAAGCACGCGAGAGGGGAATAGATTCTACCTCGGACTAGGGCTAATGAGCATCTGGGAGGTGCCGGCAGGTATCATCACCTGGGAGAAGCTGCAGTTCGTCTAGGTTCGAACTGCACCACCCTGCAGTTGTGCAACCCAAGATGATTGATGCGTTGATTTCAAAAGCCCTCCAAGCCACAAAGGCAGCCGCCACGTAGCATTGCAACAGCTGAACACTAGCCAAAAAATGGGAAACCTAGAATATAGAATATATGTATTACAAATATTATTGTACGATTGTAATTTAAAAACTATAATTATTACTTTTCAAAATTTAATGCTTATTAATACCTATCGACATGTAGAAGAATTTTTTAAATCGGATCATTAATTCAAAAGTTATGGGCCAATTTATAATTTTTAGAGATAACGAAATGCAAGCAGTGCAAGCAGTAGATCTTGCTATCTATAACTCCTGAGTAACGGGTATCTGATAGTCGAGGTACTCGTCTATTTTTCACCAAAGGAACCGAATAGAACTTATTTATTATTTATCTCCAATATTTATTTCTCAGTGTACCGACGCCATTGTTGTTACTGCTGGTGCTTTTCTGATTATTAAATAACGGTTAAGTCAAGTGGCATTTTCTGATTCTGCAAATCATTCTCGCCTTTACATTATCGTGGAATTTTCGGTCTGAGGCAATGCAATCGAAAGTGTGAAATACCAAAGACAGGCAAGAATAATAAAGCGATACACGAGTCATTCTCTGCTGACACCCGCGCCCCAATCGAACCCGAGATTATATTTTAAACCCGTTCAAGACCTGCCAATTTCGATTTAGCACATGCACACAAATAGAGATGCCCGTACGGTTAGAAAAATATTTAAAACAATAAAGCATTGAATTAACACTGGAATGGCGACTGGACTTCCCATTCAGCGCCATTTCGGTCAACAAATGTGATCAGCAAAATCGATCAGCAGCCAGCTCGATCGACTAAAAATCCAGAGAAGACGCAAACTGATGACGATGGCCAGCCGATGAAGACGCAGAGTTGGAGATGGGGTTTAGTACGCATATAAAAACAAGAGAGACATTAGAAATTGCGCAAGGCGTTCGTGTTTGAACATTGATCGGCCATCGTGAAAATATATCAAGGTCAGCTAGTTGACACAGAAACCAAACGAATCAGCTAACTAACATTAATTGATGGATCTGTGCGTTCCAAGTCGGGCATTTCGTTAGCCTTCCAGCGCGGGGAATAATCTGCACTCCGGATTTGCATGTGAAGAGGCACTAAATTTTAAATGAATTCAATTAAGCTATATATTATATGCATTTTATTTATTATTTTTCGATTTGCCCAAACGCGTTTTCATTCACATGCAAAGTATGGCCGTAAAACGAACGAATAACGGTGAATGAAATGCATTTACGATAATTAACGCGCATTTTAATTATTTATGCGCCGTTTGATTGATTTTAATACAAAGTTCGAATTGGGCGCCGAAGTGGCAACTCTGGCCGCAGTCAGCTGCAGCATCGGTTTGAGTCTGCGGTAAAACCAAAGTTCTTCTCCATTTCGTTTTAAAGACTGGATGCACTTCAAAAAATGTTTCAGACAAAAATATAAGATACTTTATTAACGAATCTATTTTGTTTTAAATTTTTTTTCGAAAACTTTATGAATTTTGAAAAAGACGTAAAATAAATATAAATATATATTTGAAGATATTTACGAAAAGCTGTTTTAATCCTTGTTTTTCATGACCCGTAATCAGGACCCCAAATAAAGCGGATATTAAAAGTTGGGACGAAATCGGGTTTTGGAGCTAAACGGAAGTTCACCCGAATTTCCTACTTAAGTTTTCGTAAAAAAGTAAATACAATTTGGCTTGAAAATACTCTCTAAAATTCTCTTTATTTACAGATCTTCTGTTTATATTTTAGATTTTAGATTTATTTTAGAAAGAACGAAAAAAATCATAAGTGGCGGTTCATTTATTCTTTATTAATTTATGTTTGCTACAAGATTTTAACTTAAACTTAACCATTTACCATTTTTTCACATTTAAAAAAAACCTTTTAAATAAATAACCCAACGACGGACATCTTTATTCAACTACTGTTTTAATTGTTAAAACAAAATAAAACGATCAATTTTGAAATAGTTCGGTATTTATACTAAATTAACTACTATAAGGTATTTTTTAAGACCTAGCTTGGCCGAAGATACGGTTACGTTCGTCTGAGCCCACGTGTTGATTGGCAGCTAATCTTATCAAACGCCGATTTGAATGCCGCATTAAACAAATGGATTCCCTAAATAACGGATGGTTCAGCGAGCTGCAGGCCGAGCTCTGGCCGGGACAGTCCTTCTCCCTGAAAGTCAAGGAGGTGATCCACAAGGAGAAGTCCAAGTTCCAGGACATTCAGATTGTTGAGACGTGAGTTGCAAACAAATAAATAAACAAATACTTGTTAGCATAGGCATTTGTTTACATCTAAAGATCCGCAGTCTAGACTTGAGTCTGAAAGTTTTCTAAAAGAAATAGCTTAAGTCAAGGATAAACTGGAGGACTTTTAGGACAGCAATTCAGTGTTCTTAAATGCTTAAAACGAGATAGTTAAAATTATAATCCCAAAGTTCCTTGAACAAAGATTATAGCATCCAAAATTTTCCATTCGGCTGTACAAATTCAAATTGCCCACACAGCATTTTCGACCCTTTCGCATGTGTATTTATTCTTGATCTGCACCAACAGCGCCTTATCGATGTGGTCATCTAAGGCCAAAAACGAAAGAAAAAACTGATAGCGAGTCAGGTTTCAGGTTTGAATTCCCCCAGTCGAACACTGCGTACACTTCCGCCGCTGAAAAAATCAATAATTTGATAATTCTCTTTCAGCGAAACCTACGGAAGATGCCTGATTCTGGACGGAATCATCCAGTGCACGGCCAGGGACGAGTTCTCGTACCAGGAGATGATATCCTTCCTGCCGCTCTGCGCCCATCCCAGTCCCAAGAAGGTCCTCATCGTGGGCGGTGGCGATGGCGGCGTGGCTCGCGAGGTGGTGAAGCATCCGTTGGTCGAGGAAGTGCATCAGGTGGAGATCGACGACCGTGTTGTGGATCTGTCCAAGAAATATCTACCCGCGATGGCCTGTGGCTTCGAGAATGAGAAATTGAAGCTAACCATCGGCGACGGCTTTGACTACATGAAGAAGCACAAGAACGAATTTGATGTCATCATCACCGACAGCTCGGATCCAATTGGTCCGGCAGTGAGCCTATTCCAGGAGAGCTACTACGAGCTGATGAAGCACGCCCTGAAGGACGACGGAATCGTGTGCTCCCAAGGCGGCAGTTTCTGGCTGGACCTGGACTACATCAAGAAGACGATGACGGGCTGCAAGGAGCATTTCGCCAAAGTGGCCTATGCCGTCACCTCCGTTCCATCCTATCCCTGCGGCCACATTGGCTTCGTCATGGGATCTCTGAACAAAAACCAGGACTTTGTTACTCCTAAACTTGGCAAGTCCGAGATCGATGCCATTGACCTGAGGTACTACTCTTCTGAGGTTCACACTGCTGCCTTTGCCCTGCCACGCTGGGTGCAAAAACACTTTTACGATTGACCAATCTTCAAAGGATTTGTTTGTATCTGTTTGTTAAAAATAAAGATGACAATAATACAAAGTTCTGCAGTTCTTCATAAATATGCGGGTGGGCAAAACTTATTTGCATCAACGTGTAAACAATAAATGATATTGCTAGACATGTCTAGTCTTACTCTTAACTAGCGAAAACAAAGTTATAAAAGTTAATTAAATTCATAACCAAATACGTTCGTTAGCTTACCTTTCCGAGTTATATCTCTTAGGGTCTTCCCACAGAGCTCCATCCACCATCTACTTTCCGTTGAACGGATGGTCCGTAAGGTTTTGCCGTTCCGAAAATTTCCCAGTTAGTCCGCCATCCAATTTTGACGGACTTTGACGGGCTCTTTTTTATTTGTCAAAAATCCCAACCGTTTCAAACGGATGGACTCTATGGGAAGAGGCTATTACAGGTATTTTACGGTTGAAAATAGAACAAATTGTAATATGTTTATTACGCAATGATATATACAGTTGGCTCTATTTAAATTTTGTATTTGTAAGTGGTTGTTGGGTAAACATAATGAGACTTATTGCAATACTTTACACGACCGAATGTTACTCTTTATATCGCATATATTGCAAAACTTTAGAAGGAAGCGGTTCTTATTTTCAAAAATGACCTTAACTGCTGTTGATTTAACTAAAAATTGTTATTCAATTTCAATAACTTAAAAGAAATTATATCATCAATTGTTTAATGACTAATTAAATAGTGTTATAGTTAGGAAACGCAATTGATACATAATTACAAAATTATATGTAAAATATGTACATTCACTTTATATTTGTTTGTGAAAACTTCACTTTTCTCACCTATTCTAAAGTTAAATATCATTTCTTGTGTCGGTTAGATTTTGGTGTCTAATGTGCGTGTTTATGTGTAATAAATATCATGTAAGTGCATTGCGCTTTTGGTAGCCGAGCTCCAGTTTTCAACAAAATCAATCATTTTCGTTCAAAATAGGTAAATATTTCAATTGTTTAAAAATAGCTGGTTCAACTTAATATAATTTACGAACGTATACTTCATTGACTGGGTAATTTCGAGTATAATACAATTCATGCCTAATTCGAGCGCAATCATGTCTACTTTTACAATAACTGTAGAGCAGTGTTAATTTACAAATTTTAGGTACCTAATGACAATTGTTAAGGCGTTTTTCCGAAAGAAACACGAGCAGTTAAAAATTAAAAATTAATAATGACGGTTTTGAAAACCAGAGCATGGCTGTCTATAATTTGTTATGCGACTGTTTTGTATGGGGAATTTCATGTTTTCGCGATTACATTCGTTTTTGCGCGCTGTTTTTGTTATATTATCAATATAATAAAATAAGATTAGGGGGCTTTCTACATGAATGGCCAACACAACAACACGTCTATGAATATCGTTCATGTTTGCTTCGCTTTACGTTAAAGGGAGGTACTAATTTGTTAACAATTTCTATGCAAGTCCATCTCAAGTTAGTGTGTATTTTAGAGTGCCAGATTATTTCGACGACCATTGACCTTATTTACTAAATTGCAGATTTTTAAGGCTGGTCCCAGCTTGAGGCCCATGTACTTCATCATCATCTCTGAATTTAGCAATAATAAAGCTTTACCATCGATTTCCTGAAAGCGAATATTTAATAAGTCGATCGTTGCGAAATGAAATGGTCTACTTTTCTACTTACATGCTTGCGGAAGAGATCCCCGTGAACTGCGAGGGAGTTGTCGTTGCTCTCGATGTACTGGATCACCTCCTCGATGGTCCAGTCGATGGGCTGCGACCGCAGATGCGAGTTCGCCGAAGCAGACGTGGGTGTGCTCAGGGGTGAGGTAATCGCGGTATAGCTCGTGGAAGCCGCCGCTGTGGCCGCTGCTCCAGCAGGCGCTGTGGCCGCCTTGGCTGACTGGCAGCCCGTGAAAGGCGTAGACACGGATGTGGGCAACGAGGCGCTGGACGAGAGCGTCGTGGGGCTCTTGTAGTAGCTGTTCGAGGGCTTAACGTTGACCTGCTCGGGATGAACTTCGGCCACCAGAGGTGCCAGGTATTTGCTGGCGTTCGCTGATCCTCCGGCCAAACTTGTGGTGGATGATGTTGACGTGGAAACGGGCGTGGTCTGACTCGCCTCCGTGCTTCCATTGGCTACAATGCTGTTGCTGTTTGCGTGGTGCTGGAATCGCACTTTGCGCAGTGCCTGCGTTGTGGAGGACGTCTGGGCAGTCACTCCGTTGGGCTCTGTCTTTATGACCACCTTTGTGCTGGGCTTGCTGGCACTGTTGTTGTTGAGACTGTGGCTGCTCTGATGGTTTGTGGGCTCCTTTCCGTTGTTGGTCGGTGTTTTCGGCTTGGCCTCCACGGGCGACTTAGCACCAACCTCCTGCTTGATGATCTTCTTCTCTTCTGGCGTCGTTGCAGAGCTCGACGACTGACGATTTCGCTTGTCGGCGAGCACTGGCGAGGAGGGCGGGGTGGCCGACTGGGTCAGCTGGCGCTTCCGACTGTTGGCGCACTTCTTGCACTCCTCCGTCTCGTGGACCAGGGAGATGAGATTCGCACATGCCCGGCATGTAGTGCACAACGTCTCGATAAATTGGGCCAAGCTCTCGTCGTCCTTCATGCGCAGCGGAGAGGGTATTTTTACCTTTAAATGTAGAAAATTGTAATATAATTGATATGAGTAATAACTAGACCTCGGATTTTGCATATTTGTCCATTTTTGGTCAGATTTTTACCAAAATTTCTAGGTAGAAATATGCAAAATATATGCAAAAAATATATGTATAAAATATGCAAAATATATGAAAACAACTGGACGCTCTAAGGAACCTTCAGTAAACACGGCGAGCAATTTAAGCGAGCAAATATGCAAAAATAAAAAAATATGCCATTAATTACTATATTTTTATTGAAACGAACTTTGGTGTTTTCGGAATTGATCTATCTTTATCCTATAAAAGTATGAAAATATGCAAAATCCGAGGTCTAGTAATAATTAAACCGTAGGTTATATGAAAAATGGCTCTTAAACTCACTGTAAAATTCTTTCCCGCTGCCGTAACTATGTGAACATCCCCCTCCAAAGCGAACAGCAGCTTGGAGAGCTGTTGCGTATCTGTGCTGGCTGCCAGGACCTCCTGCAGGCACAGCTTGGCCAGCGTTTGGTACGTTGGCCCCGTCACCATGCACGGCAGCTTCGAGTTGTTGATGAACGGACCGCCCTTGCAGTTCGGATGGAAGTGGGCGGTGGCCGGGGAGGCGGGAACCATGGCCTCCGATTCGGCCACCACGGTGTAGCGGGGACGCGGGCATCGCTGCTTGCCGGAACTGGAGTCCATGCGTGATTTGTGGCCCGGCGGCTGCATGGGGTGACAGCTGCGGGCGCACCAGCCGGCGGGAAAAATGTCGCGCGATCGGTAATTGCACCAGTAGTCGAAGGCTCCCCGCCAGCCGTCGAAGGTCACATGGATCTGATCGTCCTTGATGGCGTCCACCGTGGCACAGCATATCAGCTGTGGGTTCTTCTTGTCCACGGCCTCCAGTTTCTGGCCCACCTTGAACAAGTTCTCCTCCGGCGACGGCGGCTCCGGCTGAAAGATCTCCTCCGGCGCCACCATGGCGTTGTTGAGAATCTTGCACAGATAGCCGGGCCAGCTGGAGGCGTTCATGCGGAATCCCAGCGGCGGCTGCAGCATGCCGCCGTTCTTCTCGCAGTGCCCAATGGCATGGATCTCCGTGGAGTCCACCAGCCGCCAGAAGTCGTTCTGTGAGTCACTGCCGTCCAGACGCAGCCGCAGTCTGGAGCCCAGCACTCCAACGACGGTGGCAATGCAGGTGGAAGTGACGTTGCGCGGATCCAGGGCCTCCAGCTTCATACCGATCTTAAAATCGTTGTTGGGAGGATTTTGAGCCTGTTTGAAACATTCGGCAGGAGCAGCTTCGCTACCCGTTTCCTGAAAACGAAAAATACAAGGTTATTAGTTGGTTGAGCTACTAGAAGCCAAGATGACCCACCTCCAGATAGGCATCCCAGTCGAAGACGTGAAAGCTCTCGTATTGGAAGGGACCCGTCGGCGCGGGCGCTCCACTGGCCAGCAACTTGCGCTCGCTCTCCGCCAGACCCTTGCCCGCTGCCGAGGAGCCGCCGCCGCTGTGCCTTGCGGAGCAATTCTTCTTCTGGTGCTTGTTCATGCACATGATCGAGCAGAACTCCTTGTTGGGCGCCCCATCGCGGATGACGTTGTCGCACTGGGTGCACGCCCCCTTGCTGTACGCCTTGCGGAACTCGGCGATGCAGGTCTCCGAGCAGAACTCCTTCTTGCCGGTCTGCGTGGGCAGGACGTACTGCAGCGGCAGCTTGCCCTCGCCGCACCAGGTGCACGTGGCCCGTTTGGCGGGTCTTCCGCGTTGCCGTTGCGTGGATGCGGGCGATGTGGCGGTGGTGGTGGTGGTTCCAGCGGTTCCTGTTGATGAGGAGGTGGTTGCTCCCGCTGCCGCCGAGTTGCTCCCGCTGCTGGCGCTGCTGTCGCGACCCCCCGACATGGCTTACTTGATCCTCCTGCTCCTTCTCTGTCCTAGTTGTCGCACTTGCTCTTTCCCGCCGGCAAGCCTTTTAACATCTCAGGCGATTAACTCGATTACAGCCGTTGGGCGGTCAAATCGCATTGCGGCTGCCCCGGATTTTCACTTGCCGCCACTCGCAAGTCCTTTTTGCCCTGAAGTATTGCTCTCGATTTGGCCTGGCGAATTTTTGCGGCGTTGAGGTCACGTAATAACAAATTGGTGGCCAAATCGCATCGCATCACCCAACAAACACTTGCGCGCGGCGCACGAATAGTTCCAGGTTCACCAGAGGTCGGGCTTTCTATTTCACGAGCCGAGCAATTCGCATAGCGGGGTTTCAACGCGAAATTATCGGGTTAGCAGTCGGTTAAACAGCGAATTTTTACAATTTTTTTACTTTTACGCACCGTTCCGCCATATTTGTTTTTCTAGTGATGGCCCATCGGCTGGACATGCCCACCGATAGTAGCGTACCAGTGACTTGTCACGAAGTGTAAAAATATTTTATATCGGGAGCTATAGAAATGCGCTATCGAAGCAACGGTGGGTTTGAAAAATATAAAAAAAAAAAATAACTATAAACTTTAATCTTAATTAATGTAAACTTATAAAATGTAGTCAAGTACCCACATTCCACCAAAATTGCAACAAGCTGAGAAAACTGTACAAGAAGAAAAACTTCAGTGCTCCCTCCAAAAAGCAATCCATTACATTTTCCAAATTCCTTAAAAATTTCATAAAATCGACGTTCTCTAAAACGAATTGAAGCTACATTTTATCTCCTCTTTCTAGCAAATGTACTTCTTATGGAATATGGCTGTTTTGGAATTTGGTACTAGAAGTCAACCTCCGTTAGAGTTCTTAATTATCAATTAGCGTGCATCTTAAAACTTAAATCCGTTTTATAAAAATTAAAAATAAAAAACAATTTGAAAATATTTACGCGCTATTCAACATTAAGAATAAAAGCCAAAAAACATACCAAATTTGGTATAAACATATCGCACCCATCGATACTATCGTTCTCTGCGAGTTTCTCAGTGGAACGCCACCTGGTAACACTGACCGACGCGAAGAAAGAGAGAAAGAACCAAAAAAGTTTGCGGAAAAGTGCAACAATTTATTTCCCCCGCCATCGAGATGCTGCCATGCATATAGTCGATCGCATTCGATTGAAAATGCGCTGCTGCGTATGACGACAGTTTTCCGAGCGAGGTGCAGTGCGGGCATTTTCAATATTTTCCCTCTTTTTTTCCTCCTTCTTTTGGTCTTCTTCCTCTTTCGCTCGCTTCGCACGACAACGACAACAACAATAACGACGACGTTTTTTCAGTGGCGAAAACTGTACGCAAGAGGGGCGCGAAGAGGAGAAAAGTGCAAAGAGAGAAAGAGCAAAAAAAAAGAGGAACAAAAAACACGCATGTAATTGTAATGTGCAAATGTTTTATGAGTTCTGTTTGTTTTTTTTCGGCTGCCCTCAGGTAATTGCAGTCTGATTTTCCGCGTGTGCGTGTGAGGGCGGAAAACGCGTGTCCAGGAAAACGCGCGAACGAAAAAAGAGAAGCAAGTAACTACCTACCGCCGCCCACCCAGCGATCACGCGCCCCCAACCCATTTTAAATGATAATGGTGCGCAGACGACAGCGGCCCGCCAAGGAGTCCACATCCTCTGCCTCCTCCTCCGCCGGAGGAGCCTCCTCGGGCTCCGGCCTTCCGGTTGACCAAACGCTGGCATTGGGAGTTCCGGGAAGCCTGCTGGAGGATCAGTATTTTGCCAGCCCCAAGCGGAAAGACTGCCGACTGATGAAGGTCAGCGAAAATGGTCAACTGCCGGAAGCCACCGTGATGGCCCACAAAGGCCACCACAAAGACAACAAAGCGGGTCGCACAATCGGTGAGTGCTTTTGAGGTTATCTTTGGTGGCTAGAATACCCCTTGTTTATTTTTCAGGCGTTCCCCTGGCCACTCGCTCGCAAACGCGCACTATTGAGAACTTCTTCAAAGCCAATGCTGCCGTCAAGGATTCCCAAAAGACAATACACACAGAGGAGCAGCTGAAAGCGGAGGATGAGGAGCTGGACCTAAACGAGCACCTGCCCTTTGCGGACGACGAAGACGCCAAGGCGGAGCAAAAAATAATGGATGAGGAGCTGCAGCAGGTCGTCGAGGAATTGCTCTTCGATGGCAGCTCCAGAGCTTCTTCAGATTCGCCCTGCTACCAGCACGAAATGGAGGCCATCCAAGAGATCCCGGACATCCCACACATCAAAGAGATTGCAGAGCCCCTGGCCGACTTCCAGACACACAGATCTGCGCTGCGGGACAGCCACAGTTCCACGCACAGCAGCAGCACCGACAACATATTCCTCCAGGAGCCTGTGCTCACCCTCGACATAGATCGCACGCCCACAAAAGCCTCGAGTATAAAGATCAATCGGAGCTTTGAGCTGGCCGGAGCCGTGTTCTCATCTCCGCCTTCCGTGCTAAATGCCTGCCTGAATGGGCGCTTCAATCAGATAGTAAGCCTCAATGGTCAGAAGGAGCCGCTGGCTGGGCCGCATTTCGATTTGGACCAGCACGACAGCAGCTCCTGCGACAGCGGCGTGGCCTGTGGACTGACTGCCAACACCGAATCGCCAGCGGGGCAAGCTCGTCGCCGGAAACCAGCCACACCGCATCGCATTCTGTGCCCCTCGCCCATCAAAACGGGTTTAAAGGCTACCGGAGGGATTTGCAAGGGCGGCTCCACGGATCCCCTATCGCCGCGCAAGTCGCCGAGGAAATTGCCCGCCACCACAGCGGCCGTGGCCGCCTGCAAGTCGCGCCGAAGACTGAACCAGCCAAAGCCACAAGCGCCTTACCAGCCACAGCCACAGCTACAGAAACCACCGCCACAGCAGCAACAGCAGCAGGAGGACATTGTAGTGGTGCTAGACGACGACGACGATGAGGAGGAGGACGAGGACGATGTGCACGCCCTGCTCAAAGCAGCCGAGGAGCGGGAGAACCAGAACAAAGCACCAGCCACAGCGAACAGCAACAAAGCGGGCTTGAAAGCCATGCTCAAGCCGGCGCCTGTGAAAGCAAAGACCAAAAGCAAGGGGCCTCTGGCTGCCACCAATGGCAACCGCGAGATGACCGACTTCTTCCCCGTGCGCAGGAGTGTTCGCAAGACCAAGACGGCCGTCAAGGAGGAGTGGATGCGGGGCCTGGAGCAGGCGGTGCTCGAGGAGCGCTGTGAGGGTCTTCAGGTGCGACACTTCATGGGCAAGGGAAGAGGCGTGGTCGCCGAGCGACCCTTCAAACGCAACGAGTTCGTGGTCGAGTATGTGGGCGATCTCATCTCTATCAACGAGGCCAGCGACCGGGAGAAGCGCTATGCGTTGGACGAGAACGCCGGCTGCTACATGTACTACTTCAAGCACAAGACCCAGCAGTACTGCATCGATGCCACCGTGGACACTGGGAAACTGGGTCGTCTCATTAATCACAGCCGTGCCGGCAACCTGATGACCAAGGTGGTGCTCATCAAGCAGCGGCCACATCTCGTACTCCTGGCCAAAGACGACATCGAGCCGGGCGAGGAGCTGACCTACGATTACGGGGATCGATCCAAGGAGTCGCTGCTGCATCATCCCTGGCTGGCCTTCTGAGGAAGAGCCCTCCAGGAGCTCGCAAAGGGGGATAAGGATCAGCCTTAAAACGAAGACTATTTACCATGTTCGAGGCAGAGAATCTTTAAGATGGGAACGGAGCTAAACTGGTTTTTGGCTCTGGGGATTCTTTATTAGCTTTTATACGTAGATTGCCTCGCCTTGAACCAAGCAAAATTGTTTTCTGACCCCTGTTCCCATTATGATAAGTTGCCGGAATTATATTTAATTAATAACGAACGTTAACGAAAATATATCAAGATCGCAATAGGTTATATTTTTGGTAAGACCAATTCAATCAATCCGAATTCCGGCAATTTCAATCAGAATGGAACAGAGAACAGGGTTTTTTTAGGACTTGTTCAGGGTTTCCCCGAGCTTAGATCTAATTTGAGGAAAAGTATGTAAACTGTTAGTTCAAAATATCATAACGGATAGTGAAACCCACAAACCCCCCAGCCAAGGTCGGAAAGTAATCAATGTAAATTCTAACAAGTTTGCTCCAAAATAGGTCTAATATCAGTTTTGGTCTTTTCTACATAACAAGGTAAAATTTCTCTTGGATCAGTGAAATATTCGAAATTATCTAATAAGAACAAAAATCCATAAAAAAGACCTAGACCTTAGGGACTTTAAATTGATATTAGACCAAGGATTGCCGAAGCAAAACGCCTTAAAATTGTGCGATTACGATTCACCCCAAAGATTCTTTATCAGAAGATCGATCCCCACACACTCATGAGCATATTTTTTTGGATTTGTTAGCGTTTCATTATGTTAGAGCAAGGCTAAAGTTAAGGACAGATAATAATAATAATAATTAAAAACAACGCGCTTGAGCATTAAGGCATCTTAAGATAATTGAATGAAAATGAAAAACTGTTGACCATTTAGAGAGAAGACGATGATTTTCATGAAGATGTTAATGAAGACACACATTCGCATTGACAAAAATCGATCGTACACTATTTATATAGATATTTATATTAGATACATGTGTAATTTCTAACTATTACGTACTATTTACTGCCATAGAGCTATACACCCCCTCGCACCTGCCCCGAGCCCCTAGGAACTGACACTGCATCGTTGATTTGAATCATAGACACACTCATTAATTCACGAGGCTTCTCCAGGAGAGTAGTGGACTGCTGGACACCTAGTGCTTCGACTTACTGATAATCTCTCTACTCACACGCAGGTTTCAATCACAAACTCACTCGTACACCCATTTTATATATACTTAACGATAGATCGCCTCGCCCCCGTCCCAGAAATCCGGCTTCTATAGCTTAGCAAATGAGTTCAAATTCGTTGTGTCCCCCTTTATCCAGATTTCTGTATTTTAATGAATGCTCCAATACTGAAGGATTTTGTTTTTCAAATAGGTTTATTTTAATCTGCGCATATCTTTTAATTATACAATATGGTAAATATATTTTAATACGTTCTAGTACATAGTTAATTCATTTATTTAAATCAAGCAGCAACCATCTATAATCATGTTCTTGTTTTTACCTTTTTTCATTGACTTGGCAAAATAAAACAAAACAAACGAAAATCTATTTGTAATTTACATTTAAGTCTAAAAAACATATGATTACATCAAACTCTTAGTTTTAGTTGATAATTGTTTATAATTTTCAAACACACACGCGCAACACACAGACACATTCAACTTAAAGTGCGTAACATAAAGTAAAATAAATAAATGAAAACACATTAACACGAAAAAACAATAATCAAGAACTGGAGCGGATTGGGTTTCGTTTTCCAGCGACTTTCTGGAGATCATCATGGCAACCAGACACACTCATTTATACTTGGAATGCACGGGAGTTCGTCTATCAACTAACAAATCCTATTACATTTACAACGTTAACTATGTTTGCTTGGTTAGTTCGGTTTTCCTGTTGGTTTAAGTACACAATATAGAAAAATTCGCATCAGGCGGGTTGGGTTTTCATCAACGTGGTGGCCCGCATTCGCTTTGGAGTATTCTTAGGGGAGTTACAAAAAGGGAAGTTTGTGGAATGCATTTCTAGGCTTTTCTGCAGATCAACTGATGATAATCCGATTTTCTGGCCGATGTTGAGTGCGGATTTTGGGGTCATTAAAGCTACAATCGTAATGGAATATTTATAGTATTTGATTTTTATAAAATAAAGCGGACACGGAATTTTTCTTAAGAAATCACTTGTGATATCCCTGAAATTTGTTTAAACAAATTCGTAATCTTTTGTTTTGGTCAACTAATGTACATTAATCTTATGCTGGTATATTGATATGACCGAAGTACAGTATTGCATGCTAAGAGATGCATAAGCTTAAATTTAAAAATCTCGCAGGGTTTCAGGAATATCCCAGGTAGTTTCGAGAATTTCACTGGGTCTTACAAAGAATGTCTAAGGTCATAGCTTAGTGTTTTTGAATTCTAAATGAGTTACGTATTTTTTTTAAATCAATATTTTTCTAATAATAAATCACTTAATGAAAACTTAATTTATGTTCCGCCATATTTTATAAAAATCAAAAACTTTCCAAATCTCCAATTTCTAGTATACTACAATTTCTCGTTTTTAAAAATATTTTTTCCGGTTTTTTTTTGTCCAAACTAGGTACAACATTAATTTAGAATCAAACTATTGCACGAAATGGTTTACTTTTTCGAGTTCTTTGCTTTAAATCCTCATCTACGACTAACACAACAACATGCACGCACAACAACAACAACAATTATGCCAACGATAAGGTCAACAACAACGACAACAACATGGAACACAGCTTGCATCAAACTACATGTGTGACGACGGTTCGGTTTATGGTAAATATCAGACGGATTCATAATACTGACTGGCTCCCACGGGCACGCCCCCTTCTACGCCTACGTGAGGATGGTGGCCTCGCCGCCTCCCAGTGGGCGTGGTCCGCCCTGCGGCTGCTGCAGCCGACCACCGCCCCCCACCCTCAGCCTATTCTTGTGTCATTTCTTGCCCCCAAAACTCGGTTTCGGAAGCGTACCCATGAAAGCACCTGCATTGGCGGGCAAAGCCGGTGCCACAAAGCTAAGATCGGGGATCAGGGAGATGCGTGGTGCCACCTTCGCGTTGCCGATTTGAAACTGCTGCCGCTGATGTTGCTGCTGGTAGGTGGCACCCACACCCGCAACCAATCCTCCAGAAACGGGCACCGTCGAGAAGTCATGCATGATGTGTATTTGCTGTGGAATGGCTGGCACATTGTTGTTATTGCCGTTGCTGCTGCTGCTGGGCACCAGATTGCTGTGGGGATGTTGCTGTTGCTGCTGCTGTCCTTGGTACAAGCTTAAGGGATTGTTGTAGAAATTAGCGCTCTGCCAGGCACCGGAATTGAATTGTGGCGCCGCCGGTCGAGCGGGTGGAGTACTGCTCACAAAATCCGACCAATCATCTTCTTTCGGTGCAGGTGGCTTCCTCAGATTGCTGCTTACGTTGTTGTTGTTGTTGGTGACTGAGTGTTGCTGTTGAGTAACCGGAACAGAGACAAAATCCGACCATTCATCATCCTCTTGAGGCTGCGATTGAACTGGCTTGGGAGGAGTTGGTTTCTTAGCCACCGATGCGCTTATTGTGAGTGGCTTGGCTTGCGAGGAGAACAACTCCTCTATTCTGGCCATTTCCTCGGCATTTATGCTGGACAAGGCATTGCTGCCCCACTCTATAGACGCTGCCGGCTTCTTGGCCAGCGGAATGGCTTGGGGCAACAGAATGGCCGGGCTGAGGATCATCTGCTCGCCAAAAGTGGGTGTATCGATTCGCGATCTGGGCGCCGGCATCGATTGAAAGTCACTGAAGTCGTCGTCGTTTTCCGCCTGGGGCGGCAGCTCGAAGCTGCTGGCAGCTCCATTGCCGCTCAATTTGCTGGGCGAATCCAGACCAAATGGTGGCTTGTACTCCACATCGCGATACTCCTTCTTGACCACCGTCTCATCGATAATAATGCCCGTGGCCGCCATCTCGTAGTCGAAATCAATGGGGGCCAGTGTAGTGGTCTTGGCCACCGCCGTATCCGATTTGGAGGGTGTGTAGATGTGGGTCTCTTTCAGCGGCACCGCGTAGCTGGCCATCGAGCTGCCCACCATGTCCTCCTGAGCTGGCGGTGCGGGCGAAGAAGTGGTTCTCAAATCAAACTGCTCCTGCTCCGCCCGCTGCTGATGCAGCTGCTCACCGCCGTTGAGCTGGTGGGCAGGGCTGTCTGCTGGTAGAGCAGTCGATAGCGTCGCTGCTGCTGGAGTAACAACTGTTGCTGGTGGCGCTGTTGCGGATTCAATGTGGTTCGATTCGGAGCTGGTGACTGCAGCTGGCTGGTAGCTATGCTTCTGTCGCTCTTCGCCGTCGGAATTGCTGGCGGAAGCGCAGCCGGAGGACCCTTCCCCATGAGACGGGCTAGCCCGCGTTTCAGCTTGGCTCGCCGTTGCTGCGGGGGCGTTTTCCAGTCCTGTGCGGAGGAAAAGAAACCATTACTTGGATGTCATTTTGGTTACCATTAAATATACTTTGATATTTAACTACAGCTTAGATTATTATCATCTGTTATGTTCAGAAATATTTTTATTTCATAAACTACAATTGTAATTATCATTGTTAGTGCTTTATAAATAAAGGTATTCGAGATTATTTGTCTTATAAATTCGTAGGTGCTTTTTTCTATCCATCCATAGGATGGGAAAAGGATAATATTTATGCAAATTCAAAGTTTAATTACAAAAATTATATTGTTATTTATTATTTCAATCATAATAAAGTCAAAAAAATTATATTTGTATTTTTTTTTTTTTAATCATAATGCATCTTTTTATAATTTTTAATTGAGCTACTTTAATTTAATCTATTTTTATTTATTTCAATCTATTTTTCATACGAAAAAAAGCAAATATAGTTTACTTTTAAGATCAGAAAATACCTTAAAATATAATTATAATTTGGTAGTGGTTTTATACTTATTTAGCCAGTTTAAATTCTCATTACTGTTAGCATTTACTTCGAACACATCAGATGATGGCTTACACTAGGAACAATATATGGGTATTAGTATGAACTGTATCTAGCTAAGAAAAATGTGAAAATGAGGGGAATTCTGGAGGAGGTTTCGACTACTTGTGCTTGAACTGAGCTGGCTGAGATTCGGATGCTTTGTGCCAAAGTAACAAGAACCGGGGAACTGTGGATCGGGTGGACAGTATATTGGTAGATAGAGAGACAGAGCTGAGAAATATATAGAGAACCGAAACTGAAGGAACCGAAAAAAGGAGGAGAAACAACTACAACACACGCACAGAGCCAACGAAACTTACTAAAATCCAGCAAGGCGTCGTGAGCAGTGAGATTTGTGTTAATTGTTATTGTCATTGTTGCAGTATTGTTAGCATGATTTTTGTTAAGATTGTTATTATCGTTATTGTTATTGTTGTTGTTGCAGATGGTGGCAAAATGTGTGAGTGGTGGCGTGGTGGAGTGGTGCAAATCGATTGTCAAATTGTGATTGTTATGGGTCATCAAATCCATCACAGGTGGTTTAACATCCAGTCGATCGATGGGAGCAGCAACGTCGTTTTCACCATTATCGTTGTCAACGTTGTTGTTGTTATTGGTGTGGGAGTTAGAGGTAACAAGATTTATTTTATCAGCATTAGCCACCACCGTTAGTTGGTCTAGTTGTTCCAATTGTAATGTCTGTACATGTGATTCTAAATACAATTTATCGTAAGGATAAACTTTTTGATTGTTTGTTGAGATAGAAGTTAGAAGAAATGTGGTTGGTCACAAGGAAAACAAGGCAAACGAAAAATAAAATATATAGAAAGGAGCAGCCAATCGAACGGCAGGCCAATCCGGGAAGCGTGTGTCAATAGGATCGGGAAATAGGCAACGAAAAGCGTTTCAAAAGTAAAGCGAGCGTTTGGCGATAGGGTGGCAATTTCTCGAGTTACGAAACTTGTGTAGCGGTTAATTTGCGGCAACTAAGTGGAGCAATCTCTTCGAGAGTTTGGGGACACTCACCTTGGTGGCTGCTGGGTGTGGAGATGACTTCCAAATTGCTGGCGGTCCCAGTCGCTAGGGGTTTCAACGGCTTCAGGGGATCGAAGCTCAGGTTGGCGGCAAAGCGCGGCATCGATGAGTTCCACTTGTCGCCAAAGAGCTGTAAGTATCGAGAAGTTAGTACATCGATTTATAATAATATAATAATAAGACTCACTATATTTCTTGAATCGATTCCCAGCGATCGAACGAGCGCATGCCTCATCTCCGAGCTGCTCCATTGATAATCCAGGGCTTGGGCCTGCTCGATGGCGCCAAAATTGAATCGCTGACACTGCGCCAAAGGTCTTCGTTTGTCGGTGCTTAAGCTGTCCTGCTCCTTTGACTGCGGGAACATCATCTCTAGGACCGGCTTCACTCGTTCATCGATGCTCAGGTGGACAGCAGCTGGCGGCGGCGGCGGAGGTACTGAAGGGGCAATCACTACGGGCTCTGAGAAGTCGCCAAAATCATCGTCATCATCTTCGCTTTGGCCAGGACTTCCATTCGTGGGTGTGGCAAACTCTTGGAAGTCATCGAATCCATCATCTGCGGGTTCCGAAGGAGGTAATTTAATGGAAGCCGCCAAAGGAGAAGCTATCTTCGCCTCTAAGGGTTCCGTTTTCGTCGAGGAATGTAGTTCTAGGGAAGGACTCTTGGTTTCTGGTTCTGCTGCCGAGAAATCCGCAAAGTCACCAAAGTCATCATCTTCTTCTTGGACTTCCTGACACTCCGTCGTTATTTCTTCTTGTACTAAGTCTTTAGGCGCCGCTTCAAAGTTTGCAAATGTAAATGTATCACTATCCGCTGGTTTACCCCAGTGACTGGTGGTCTCCTCAAGGTTTTCTTGGCTTTCCAACTGTTTCGCTGAGGTATTTGAAATTTCCTCCTGGTTTTCCAAGCCTTCTTCATGCTGAGGAGTATTTTCTTGGGGTATTCTTTTCCCTGAATCCTGATCCTCCTCCGGAAAACCCTCTCCGTTTGGTAGTGTGGGCGTGGCCAGCACCTCGATGGCAAAGAAATCCACGGCTCCCTCGCGTATAAATAGTTCTTTGGGCTTCTTTGGCGAGCACTCCTCGTCGCTGTCGTCGGACACATCCTCCAGCGTGACTTGGTGGCTGAGGACATGCGCTTTGGTTGTTTGCATCACGGGCGGAGCCACTGCCTCCGCTGCTTCCCCTTCCGCAACGGGTGAGAGTGTGGAGGCGGCGGAAACGCTTTCCGTGGAGTAGAGACTTAGACTGTCCAGCTTCAGGGAGGGCACCTGCTCCTCCGATTCCTCCTCCTCGAGATCCAGGCCCAAGGGAGGCGGCGTGGGTGGCGCTGTTACTCCGAAAACATCGTAATCCATCGCCTGTTGCACTTGGTAATTGAATGCCTCGGCGGTTTGTTTATTTTCCGGCGAATCCGTCGGGCTTTCTCGAAATTCCCCCACGGGATCTGGCGACGGAGGGGGTTCTGAAAAGTGGGAATTACGTGAGTATCGGATGGGGATACGACTCCCAAGTCTAAGCTTACCTTTCGAGCTGCTGACTAATCCGAAATTGGAGTATTCGTCACCTTCGTCCAAGTGGCTTGTGGACTGCAAACCGGAATCGTCGTCTTCCTCGCCAAAATCAATGGGCGGCGGGGTGCTGCAGAGCAGCGGGGGTACATTTACCATATTGCCAGCTGCAATGTTCTGCTAAACGATCCCCTAAAGTCCACTTCCTGTTTTAAAAAACAAAAAAAACAGGGAACGGTTCGATCTTCTATCCCGTTTGCTCCTCTTTATCGGTGTGTGCGAGTGTGTGTGTATGTGTGACGCAGGTGTGGAGGGGTATGCGTGTGTGGGTGAGCCACTCAAGGTCTGTGTTGGAATTTTCTTGTTTGCATTTAACACGCGTCAATTTTCATCTGTCCTTGGATTTTGTCTAACTGCCGCCTTCTTGGTGGCTCTAAAAACGTATTGGCCAAATTTGCAAGTCGTGTTCTAGCTGCAATTAGCCATGATTTTTCCGAAAACAATACTTTTTTCCAGGTTGAGTAGTAAGACCGTTTGTTTTTGGCGATGCAACAGTGTTGCATAACGGTGTCGGTTTTGATAACGTAGGATATTTGAATTTGTGATTTATTAATGCACAACTTAAAACTAATAAATTATTAGTCATAATTAAAACATTTCTCTTAAATTCTAAAGTATCATTTTATAGATGAATATTTTAATGTTTTATCACTTTTTGTACGAGCTTTGAGAAATACTTCAAACATTTTGTGATAGAAGTTACCATTGTATAAAAATACTTCGCTGATTTATTGGGTTTTTTAAATATTCTTTTTAAAATTATTTTTCTTACTTTTTCAAACCTGCTGGCAACGCCGCTCGTTTACCCACAGAACTATCGATGACCGCCTGTCAGATTTGACAGCTGTTTTAAGGTTATACTGCGCTGCCGTTGCAATCGCTCCACCAATTTGGGTAATTTCGCTTATTTAACACCAAAAGTTGCATAAAAACAAAAGGACAAGGGATCTGTATAGTGGAGGGCCTACTGGGGCAGCCGTTTCAACGAGTGAGATTACTAAAAGATACCCTTTTCTTGCAGTTCACGGACGGACAATTACATAACTCGAAGAAGAAACCATGTCGCAGGCTCCCGTTCGCGTTTCCCCGCTGATCAAGTTCGGCAGGTGGTCCTTGCTCCTGGTCGGCATTGCCTATGGTGCCGCCCACCAGAGCCGCCTGTCCAAGAAGGAGGAGAAGGTCCGTGAGATCGAGGGCCAGCAGAAGGCCGTTCGGGATGCGAAGCTCGCCGAGGAGAAGAAGCGCAGCGCGGAGGCAGAGGCCCGTGCTCTGGCCGAGCTTTCAAAGCCCACTCCCAAGCAGTAGGATCCTCCAGGATGACACATCCCTAGTTCCCTTAGCTTAAAAACAAAGAAAAACCACAACATTTACACTCGAAGTTCGCCTGAGGAGGAGAGGAGCCGGAGGAGCAGGAGCAGGGAAGCGATAGTGGAGCCTCTATCTATCGATCACTGTCTATCGATCGTTCTTGTGCTTTCCTCTGATGCTTGTGCAAAACAAAATGTTCCAAATTAAATGATTGAAACAAAACCATTATGTAAAAACGCTCAAGTGTTTGGTGTTTGTGATTAAGTGGGCGCTATTGCAAGAAGTAAGGATTATGTTTCTAGTCTATTGCAAATATGCACATGCCAATATAAAATTTGATGCAGTAAAGATAGGTTAAAAGGAGCAACAGGTCGAAATATCCAATATATCCAGTGACAAACTTTAGTTAAAATAAGTGTATCTGAAGTAGATTTAACTATCTGCGTCAAAAAGGTAAACATATTTTATTAGTACCAATGGAATATATCTGGCTTTTTTGTTTAAAAACATTTTGCAGATGCTAGTTTGTCATTAAAAAATTGATAACCTTTTTTTTTATCAAGATAATATAATTCCATAATATAACATAATACAAAATTGTTGGTTGTTGAAACATAATGCTTAATAATTTAAATTCCCAATCTCCTAAACTGGGAGTTTCATTGCCAAAAAACACCGAATCTTTCAGATTATTTGATTGCTTTTTCAGGCTAAAATAACTTATTTTACAAGACAAACAAAAAGTGGAGAAAATTATCAAATTGTGTATAGTCTATTAAATAAAATTTGACTATTTTCCACTATTGAATGTCCACTGTAGATGCCAGCTGATTGACCCACTTTCAAATTCGCGCCAACAGCTGATTTCAACCGGCTTTATTTACCTCTTGGACTCGTTCGCAAATCATCGCTTATTGCTCGGCTGTTTGATCAATAGTCCCCCGGAATAGCTCCAATTGCGGAGGTGTTGAGACACCTTCCGTGTTCGCGGGGCCATCATATCACGCAATCCCATCGAGGACATGCCATCGCATCGCGATGACAAACTTTCTGGATCAGTTGCCTAAGCACATCAGGGAAATCGCGGAGCAGGGTAAGAGTTTTGGGTTTCCACAACTTAGTTCAAGTGCCAACTAATGTGTCCCGTCCTCCAGTTAATGTCCTCGCGCCGGAGGAGGTGCTCACCACCCCGAAGGTACGATTCCTGGACACTCGCCAACAATCGCTACATACACTCGTGCGAAAATGCACTCCGGATGATGTAAGGGTGCTCAAGGATGCGGCCGCCAAGTGGCTGGCCGAGATGCCCCAGGCAGGTGAGAAGCTCTGGAGGATCTATATTCTTCATATAGGCAGAAACTATACCTGGAAAATCTGTCTTTCCAAGTCTCTAAGCTAAGTTTCAGACTCAGTAATGTTTGCAAATTGGTAACTTTAAAAATATAATCTGGGTATTCCCTAAACTGTTGCAGAATTGTTGAAAATTCAACAGAAAATTTCAGCAATTAAGGGAACGACCCAAAATGGTTAATGTTGAATTTTCAAACAGCTGTTATTTGTTGAAAAGTTTCACGGAACTTAAAAAATGTAAAATTGCTAGTTACTGTCTAAAGTTCTTATCAAGGTAAAAAGAACCACCAATATGCTTTCTAAGTTGATTTTTAAATAAATAATGCTTAATGGTGATACTAAAATGTTAAAGAGTTGCCATGACTTTTAATAAAAACGGTGACAGCTCTGGTTTTAAACGATTCAAACAAATTTTCAACAGCCTCGAGGCTGTTGAATTGCTGAAATTTCTGAAAGTTGACTTTGTATGGAACAGCTGATTAACAGCTGACAAAAATTCAACAATTCAGCAATTCAACAGTTTAGGGAATCCCCTTAATATCCCAAAAAAGGACCACAAGCAATTAAAGGGCTAATAGTTTCCTTTGCCCAAAAGTTCGCGCAATAAACTCCCCTTTTTTCCTTATTTTTTCGTTTCTAAGATAGTTATCTGCAGAAATATGCCAATAAAAAACTCCTATTATCACAGCTGATTCCCTATTTAAGCCATTGGTGAATGTGCGATGGTCTCGGGTGTCCTTTGGATGTCCTGCTCTGGATCGTTGTACCGGCGGAGGTGTGGTCACTCGGGGAATAACCGAGCTTTGTGGCGCTGCCGGCGTGGGCAAGTCCCAGTTGCTCCTCCAGCTATCCCTGTGTGTCCAGCTGCCCACTGAGTTGGGAGGATTGGGCAGGGGTGTGGCCTACATTTGCACAGAGGACGCCTTTCCGGCGAGAAGATTGCTGCAGATGAGCAAGGCCTGCGAGAAACGACATCCGCAGGAGAAGCTCAACTTCCTGGGCAACATCTTCGTGGAACATCATTACGAGACCGTGAGTAAAAGTATAAGTTAATAAAAATCCCAAGAGGGCTTTAGTCTTGCTTATATATTTTTCTAATAAAAATCTCTATTGCCCACAGGAATCACTACTCAAATGCATTAGAAATCGCCTACCCCGACTTATGCAACAACAAGGCATTGGCCTGATCATAATCGATTCCGTGGCCGCCTCATTCCGTCTGTACACAGATTTTATAGAGCGTGCCCGGCAGATGAGGCGACTGGCGGATGCCCTGCTCAGCTATGCGGATAAGTACAACTGTGCCGTGGTCTGCGTAAATCAGGTGGCCTCCAGTGGTGGTCAGGATGAGGTTCCCTGCCTGGGATTGCAATGGGCACACCTGGGACGCACCCGTCTGCGAGTTTCACGGGTCCCCAAGTTGCATCGGATGGCAGATCAACTGATTACAGTCCGCAAACTGGAGATCCTTTATTCGCCAGAGACCCCAAATGATTTTGCCGAGTTCCTCATCACCGAAGAGGGCGTGGTGGATGTTCCGGAGCCACCGCTCACCCGCCCACCAGCTAAAATGCGTCGCCTGTGATCGATTGAATTTATTCTGTTTATATTGTTTTCGTTTAATTTGTTGAATTTAAAATGTGTAACGGCAGAGCGTTCTGTCAGCCATATTGTGGTTTAATACTCCTATTAAACTTAGCGGAAGTTAAGATTAACGACATTCTTTTAAATTACGTTCATAACATATGATAAATTTTATATTATTACTAGCAGATTCCCATTAGATTTCTTTAAAATTTGTAAAAATTACGAAATTATGATTGAATAATAGTAAACCAATTATGATCGAATTTATCTTAAGTAAATATATCCTTTGCAATTCCGCTAAATTTAATCAGGAATCTAAACCAGTTTCTAGTTGGTTGCTTTAATTACTTTTTTGTACAAACACTCAATAAATATGTATCATTCAATGGCAATCTACAGGGTAGCAGAGCTTACAGGCTTACATACAATATAGTTCATAGTTCAAGTAGTAAAATCAATTTTGTAATCGCCTCGTATACATTATCACATGAAATTGTCGAAAGTTCAGATTACAATATGCCATAGTTTACGCGGACATTTAAATGCGACATTTACAAAAGCCTAGACTTAGCGTTTAAGTATATTAAATAAATTAATTACAAGCCTAAGGGTGAACGGATTACGCGACAATTAAATTACAGTTAGGTATTACAATTATTGGGGTTTTCATTCTTTTTTTTTGGGGATGGTTTTTCCTCTTTGTGGATGAGCAATATTCGACTTTTTGGCACAAGTTAATTTGACTGTGTGTGTGTGATCTCGCTTAGATCTCCCGCATGGCGACATCCTGATCCAGGGAATCGTGTGCCTCCGTGGAGTCCCCATGTTCGCTGGACGACACCTCCTCCTCCTCGTCTTCCTCCTCGCCCTCCCCCTCTCCCTCCGACGAGGAACTCTCCGCCTTAACCAACTTTTCCGGTTGCATTTGTTTATTGGCCATGGCCAAGGCAATCGATATTTTGCTGGCCGCCAATTTGCTTTCGAAGTCCATTTCCGTTTCCGTTAGCTGGCCATTTTGCAGGGCCGTTTGGAGCCTCAGCTGTAAATCCCGATGCTGCGGCGACTCCTCGCGCTTTATGTCCAATTTCTCGGTCTGCTCGAGAGGTGCGGCTGGTTCTACGGTCAAGGGTATAGCATGCTGATGCAAACGCTGGTGCAACAATTGATTTTCACTACTATTATTAAGCCGTTTTTCGACTGCAGGCTTCTGATCTCCGGTTGTCTCTAATTCCGCACTTCGATTCGCCTGATTGGCCGGTTTAACTGTCTTTTCCAGCAGTGCATTCAATTGTTTTTTAATCTTGGTGGTGCTCGGTTTGCCGGGCGATTTTCCCTCGCTGTTATTAACGTTATTATTTAGCGTGCTGTTGTTATTGTTATTACTGCCGCGATTTGGAGACTTTGGAGACTTCTTACTCTCCGCAGCGGGTGCGGCATTGCCAACAGTGGGTGAAGTTGCATTCACGGTTTTCTTTTCGCCCGGCTCGGCACCTGTTGTTTGAGCTCCTGGTTTGGCATTCGTGGACTTGTGCTCCGCCGCCTCGTTGTTTGTCACATTCTCCGTCTTTTTCCACTTCGTGCGGCGGTTTTGGAACCAAATCTTCACCTGGAAATACAGAAAAACACAATATGATCAGTTTACGCGTTTTACAACACTCTTTGTTTTTGAGCTGGCAGTGCTGAAGCTTAATTTTAGCTGGCAATGCTTTTGTGTTTGTGTGTGTGAGTTTCAAGTCCCCGAATTCGCGCAATAAAATCTAAAACAAAGTGCCTTAAAACAAGTGTTTGAGCTTAGATAAAGTTTGCAACAATCGCCTTTAACTCTTTAGTTATGCTCGGTGAAGGCAAACATTCGAAAAAGTTATGTTTTTCTGCTAAAATCTCCTTTTTCATTTTTCATGGTGTGAGTTTGTGTGAGTACCAATTCCACAATTCTGAACTATTAATTGAACAGAAAGTATCTTTCCTAAAGTATTATTCTTAAATGTAAGTGAATAAAATATAGAGAATTTTAAATAAAATGTTAAGCCATGACCATAAAAAAGACAATCTTTTTTAATGCTTAAAAAGAAATTTCATCAATTTGTTAGGGCAAGTTAGGTTCGTTCGAGGGATGTCGAAATATTTAAAAATATCATATCGATGATATTTTTCATTTAAACAAAAAATAAAAATGATATTTGATATATCAGAAAAAAATATCTATATATCAAATATTTTTGATATTTTTGTTTTATTATTTTTTTTTTAAATTTTAAGCTGCATAAGCAATAACCACTAAACTAATGTTTGGTACGATCTTAAATTTTATTTTTATAATTTTTAGTTTATATTTATTAATAAATGAAAGAAAACAATATTTATTTTTGCTTTCTTTTGATTTTATTTATAATATTCAAATCAAGTATTTCCCGCGCATTTTTTTTTACCGCGTTTTCTTGAGTTCTGAACGCTATGCTATGCATTTTTGCGAAAAAATAAATTTTAGCGACGCTAATCTTTCACATAAGTATTTTTTCTTGTCCCGATGACAAGTGAGACCACTTAAAATTATTAAAAAAATGTTTAAAAAATCGATGATAAATTATAATTATTAAAAACAAGAAAGGAAGCTAACTTCGGCCAGCCGAAGCTTATATACCCTTGTAGATAAAGTAATGCTCACTCGATTCAGCGTTTCTAATTTAATTTTGTTTATACACTCATAAAAATAAATTTCTAAATTTTGGAAATCTCGCCATTGAATCGGCCTACCTTTGAAAATAGAAAAAAAATTTCTTGTTATTAGAAAATTCGCCTTTGAATATAAAAAACCTTTCTTGATGGAAAAAATTCAAGAAATAATTTTTCTTAAAAATAGAAAAATGAAAATCTCATATGTTTGTTTTTGCCGTCGCAGCCCAAAAATTTGCTACAAATTTTAGGCCAAAAAAACCTTTGAATATATGGAAAAAATTACCCTAGAATATAAGAAAGTAGCCATTGACTTCCTTCGGCTGCCGAATGTTAACGACAAGAAAAACGAAGTGGGACGAAGGGCCTACCCGGCTACCGACTTCTCTGATCCCCCGAGCGTCAGTTGTGAAAAAAATTCGTGAGTGATGGACGTGATTTTCAAGCGGATAAGGGGTGAAGCCTTTTTCCGAATATTCAAAGGTATGTAAATATGTATTTTTTTTTTTTTTGTATAGCGGGCGTACAATTGTATGTATGTAATTAAAGGATACATTTCAAATCTCTTTACCAAGCGTATACCAATTTAGGTGAATTGTTTTTTAGCTAAGAGCTACGTACATACATACATTTGTACATAAATTTGTGGGTGTACAGTTCTATAATAACTTTATCTTATTACTCGCATTTTATTTATTTTTCAGAGTGAAAATACCTGCAGTTGCAACAGCCTTATAATTTGTTTGTCGAAGCTGTAATTTTGTTTTAAAACCTTCTAAGGTAAGAAAAATATGTTGTATTTGTTTGACATACTTATGTATGCATGTAAATATCTATGCATGTACGCGGCTCATCCGATCTGAAACCCGATTTTCAACCCTTTCATATTCTGCTCCTCTCTCTCGCTCGCTTGACCTACGCGTCGCGACGTTTCTCTCTTCACCTTCTTAAAACTGACACGATCTGCCCTGCTTACATTCGGTCTCCCTTCGCGCAAAGGACTGTATGTAAATATATATGTATGTATGTACGTGCCTCTCCCGTGCCTCTCTCTCTCTGAAATTCGATTTTCAACCCTTCATTTTCTACCTGTCTTGCTCCTCTCTCTCGGTCGTCTGTCCAACGTGTTTGTATTTTGGCTATTATTAACATTACATTATTTCAAAAAAGTTGTTTATCTAAAAACAAATCATTGATATCCCAATTTTTTTTTTTTATAGATGAGGAAAGGCGAAGAAAATGGATCACCTTAGGTCATATGAAGTTCAACAGACATTGGGTAATAATAATGTTTTCTTGAGTCAAAAATGTGTTATTTAAAAATATTTAAATGTTAAGTGTTAAATGTTTTAAATGTAAATAAATATAATATGCAAAAGAAAAAACCAAGTTACATTTTATTTTTAGGGTTTCAGTGTTAATATAAAACTTCCTTTCGAGAAATATTATTTCTTAAATCAAGAAATAAAATTTCTTGAAATGAAATTTAAACAAGAAAGAATTTTTCTTGTTTAAAAGGTGCCTTTCTAAAAAACCCTTTCTTGTTTTAAGAAATTTAATTTCTTGAAACAAGAAACAAACCACCTTTGAAACAAGAATCGCCTTTCTTGTTTTAAGAAATATTTTTTCTTGTTTTTATGGGGGCTTTCTAAAAAACCCTTTCTTGTTTTAAGAAATTTAATTTCTTAAAACAAGAAATATTTTTTCCTGTTTTAATGGTGCCTTTCAAAAAAACCATTTCTTGAAACAAAGGTGAGGTCGCCTTTGGCAAAAATTCAAGAAAGAATTTTCTAGATTTTAAGGAAATTCTTCGATTTTTTTTTATGAGTGTACATAAGTAGTCAAGAATCAAAACGCCTACTTCCTACAAAGTTACAATGAATTTTCTTATATATGTTTGAATATTCCTATGGGAGCCTTAAGATATAGTGGTATATTTTCGACATCCCTAGTTCGTTCTCAAAATCTGACCAATCCTTAAACTTGTCTATACTCTGTCGATATCCTTAAGACTTGTATGTCAGATTCAGTGAATGAACTATGCAGATGTTCCCCAATAAAAGGTGGAAATGGCGCCTAATTTGCTGTGGGCCCAAATGGATGAGTCAAAGCCAGTTCATAGCCACATAATTACGAATGTTTATGCCCCATTTGGCCTTATTAGTGGGCGCACAACAAATAACTTGAGAATTGTGTATCCTCCCGGTCGAAATTATTTGAATATACTCGCAACACTTCCGCCCCGTCAGTCAGTCGGTGCTCATTTTTCCTCAGACTCCAAACGAGAGCAATGATGAAATGACAGGCGCACGTCAAAAGGCAAAAATCGACCCCCTTTCGGTCGCTGTTTTCCCCATTTTCCCCCTTCATTTTCCACCGAGGCCAATGGCGCAACATAAAACATTTGCCTCTCATTTTCCTTTTCATTTTCATTTCCATTTCATCCAGAAATGATGGGCCAGCTAAATAAATGAAAAATCTATTTAAATCGCGCACATAATTAGTATTTCAGCGGCATGTCTGCAGATACACACACTTGGATTCAAATAGAGATTCAAACGTTAAAGATAGATGCCTGCTATATGACATGCTCATTTCGCCGGAGTGGCGGAAAAAATTATGAAATTAACATGAAAACGCCGCACAGATTTCCACCAATCTGAAAAAACAACAAGTTTCAAAGAGGAAATGGCTCAAGTACACACTGAACAAACAAACCCCGTAAATTTTCGTATTGAAAATCAATTAATTGATTGCTAAATATTTCTGAATTTACTCCCATACTAGTGCATACTAGAGCAATTCCAATTTTTATGTACCCGTCGATGGATTGATGCCCATGCAAATTGTTTATTTTACGGATGAAGATGGATTATGAGTGAGTTTTCCTCACTATTATTCTGCGGCCCCGTACAATTGGCAATTACTCATCCCGCGTGCCAATCCGAAAATGATCATTAGATCTATTCATACGTTCATAAACAATAAAGCATTTCCCGTGTTTACCTTATCCGCACTCTTAATGGGCAGCCCAAGTGGATTCCTTCCTTTCACCTAAATGGTTTTATTTTTATGGCCTTTTCGGATACGGGCCAACTCATCATCGTCGTTTTTAATTGTTGATTATTTTCAAGTGTTCGCCGCCTGGCCATTGATGATCTAATTGATTCGGGGATTTCGGATTATTAATGTTTCGGGCGCGATGCGATTTGGTAAATATTGCATAAATCTTCATTAATAATTTATTTTCCCCCCTTAAATTCTTCCGCTTTCGGCTTGAATAGATTGCGTATCGTCAATAAACTGCCTTGTTTGTTATGTTTTGATCTGAGCACTAAACCTCATTAAGGCGAGATGTGGAAATATTTCTAAAAATATCCAGAACTTGTCAAGCGATTCACAGGCCCCTCGCTTTTCTTTCGACCTGCTTATGATTTATTGACATTTAAGAGTGTCTGTGTGAGCGTGTGTGGCAAAAATGACAGAAGCAGAGCGCATAAATAGCCCAAAAGGCAAACTAGAGGCACGGGGAAAAATCAAAAAAATCGATAGAAATTTCCCAGAAATGTAATTGACTTGCTAGGGGGAATTCTCATAATTTACTATATTTATAAAAGGCAAAATATAGTCAAATTAAGACGAATTTAAATAAATCTCATCTTAATTTAAGGCGATGATTTGTCTATTCAGGCATTTATTTTATGTGGTACAAATTAAAAGGTATTTGGTATTTAAAAAGTATACAATACCCCCCACAATAATATTATAGATCCGCCACTGCCATACATATTTAATAACTTTTCGGCTCTGAACTTTTCTGGCAGTGCAAATGGTATTTGCCTCTTAAATAGGTTTATGACAGATGCGTCTCAGCTATTTTGTTGGTCCTACACATGTATTTCAATCAACGCCACAAGATCAGAGAGTCGAACA